CACTACTCCATCATCTATAAGAAAATTAATTTGTTATCCTTCACACTTGTGATGTTTAAATCTCAAGCTTGCTTATTTCGATCAAACTCATTCAAGAGACACTTAAGGTCAATTACAATATCAATCAAACTCATTCTAATCATTATATGCATATTTATTGTTATAAATTAGCTTGATACTCAAGTCCATTGGTACATTTATTCTTATTACATCGAACAATCATACTTTTTCATTAGAAACTATATTTAAAAGTAAGTATAAGTGATTATATATATTTCGAATGTCATTTCAAATAACTTTATGCATAATATTTTTGAAAGCATATTTTTCAACTTTAAAAGTCATTAACATGAATATATTATATATTATATTTATAAAGTATAAATATCACAATAATATATCTTTATGCAATGCTAATATATGCATGTTATTTATGTTTATATTGAGATACTATATGTAATGCGATATGTGAAAAACTTAGGCACTATATTTTTTAATATTTTGTACAAACCCAAAAAAATTTAAAAAAAGTTGAGTATTCTAATAGCAAATCTTTATAACTCCCGACGTTCATGGAGTGGCCTCATCATTCAATTGGAAGTCGTTTGTATATTGTCATGATTGCAGGTTTAATACCCAATAATCAATCCATCTGCATCTTAAATATCTGGAATTGTACATCAATCATATATCTTTCATCTTTATCAAATATAATTCATTCTAATCATTTATATAATCATCTCTTGACCTTAGGTTTTAAATTAGGACTATAATCAAATTGAGGATTCAAATAATATTATTAAGCTAATGTTATATGAGGTTGTACTTCACATCTCTTGTCAATAATTTTCTATACAGGCTCATATCTACATAACATACAAAATAGAAATAGGTTAATTACTAAATAATAAATAATAATATTAAGAAAAAAAATGATATACAGTTTACCTTTTATTTATTGATATTATTATAATTGAGTTGGATCTTTTCCTTTACATTTTTCATTTGAAGCCATAATTCGAAAATCCTTGATGAGAGGAAATGTAGCTTTAAGACACATAATAATATCCCTCCATAATTTATTATCCAAAACAAATTGTTGAACTTTTCAACTCAATAACTAATATAAACCTACATGACTACCATTGTGTAGATGTAAACATATTCATCAACATACCTTTCGATTCACTAAAACACCCCAAAGTTAAATATGTTGTTGCAAATCGAGTTATGGTTGCTCTGATCAAATATCTCCTCTGTAAATGTCTCAACATTAAAATAAACATAATTCTTGAGTAGATGAATTATGTAACTCTTCTTTCTTTCACGATTGACATATAATTTTTTAAAATTTAAAAAATTAAATCGATAGAAATAAACAACACAAGATTGAGTTCAAAATAATCTCTTGTTTTCATTTACATCTCTCCTATAATTTGTAGCATTATATCCATAATGATTTGCACAATATTTTCTTCGCTAACCTTTCCTACTATTTCATCGAACATTTCAATTAATTTAGAAATATTAGATACATCCGCTGATGATGAAAAAATAGTCCTCTTAAGACTATTTACAATGAAATTACATATATTTTGTGTCTCTTCTTATCTGTCCACTCATCATATATAATTGAACAATCTATTTTCTTCCATTCAGCTTTATACTCCATATTTAATTCCAAAGTAGTTTTTCACTTATTTAAAAAAAAAATGTTTTTCTGATCTAATGATAAAAAAAAAGGTTTAAATCCACAGTAAAGTTTCTAAATAATTAAAGCATTTTAAACTATTCAGAACAATACAATTAAATATAATTATGTAAAACATTCTGGTAATTTTTTGGCACATCTCATCTTTTAAATCTCTTTTCAATGGTTGTTTGAGTGTTACTCAAAGATAACTAGGAATCTTTTTCCTCAAATATATTTTTCCTTCCCCTTTAGATGCAATTTCATCTTGCTCTCATCCTTCTTATTTTCATAATTTAACTTTTCTATTTCATAATCTTTCTCAATACTTATATCATTTGTTTTATAATATCGTCTGACATACTTTTACATGACTCAAATGTTTAAAATGGTAGACGCCATGTGAGATGATCTTTTTCATAAAATATACATCCAACATTTTCTGAATTATTTTCACTCAATAATAAGTTAATTAGTAAGTTGAGTATATGTGATGATTCTATAATAAATATTATTGGTGTCAATAAAGTGAGAATAAAAATGTTTGATAGAGTGGTGCATATTTTCGATATAGTATATTATAAAGATATGAAAATTTTTAATTTTTTAAGTCTTTTAAATTTTCAAGGGTTAGATTTTTAATAATCCTACCTTTTGAAATGAAGTACAATAAAGATATCAAAGAGTTGAAAATATGTTACACGTGCGGGAGATGATAGGTACGGATGATAGTGAGATTTGTTTACGATGTAAAAAATAAAGGATAATATTCATGGTTTCTAAGATGTAAATGGTTGAGAGGGAAAAGATCATGCTATTGGTAAGATGATGAGATAAAAGTCTCTCTCTCGAATGAAATAACATAATTGATTTGATTACAATTACATAGGGGCTAATTATATATTATCATTATAATTAGCTATCTTTAGTATCTCAGTCCTTATACTTTCAAAAGTTATATTAAGATTCCTATACTTCAAAAATTATAATCCCTATACAGAATTATAAAAAAAAAATTATTGGAGCAGCAAGATTAAATGTTTTATTTTTGTATGTATAGGGATTATCTTTTGAAAATATATATACCAAGATATTAAATATAACTAATTAGAAAGGGTAATATGTAATTAGCTCATACATTCGTGGGCTGATTGAAATCAAGTGTTGGACCATGAACTTATTTAATTTATATAGTTGTGATGATTCTTTGGGTCAGTAGTTCAATTTTTTGTAGGAGGCAAGAAGTGGGAAAATACTCACTAAAGTGGAGATTATTAAAGTTGGTAAGTATTTTAAAGAGTCTTAATCGTATTCAAATTAGTTGGGAAAGTTTTAATTAATCGAAACACCTTAGTGAATTAGGGTTTATTCTTATAAATATATCTCATATTTTTTAGGTTTTAATGAGAGGAAGAGTCAAGACATTTTAGTCGCTAGAAATAATTTTTTTTTCAGTTTTATATAATAAGTGTTCAAGGAGAGTTATACTTGAGCTATGATAACTCAAGTATCTTATAATTGATCTTATATATTAAAAAAATTAATTTTTTTCATGCGATTAAGTGAGATTTGTCAATCATGTTAAATCTTATATCAATTTTTTTATATGTTTGATTTTATGATTTTTATTTTTTATTCTACTTTTCTCCCTCTAAACAGACAGAGATGTACAAGCCTAAAGAAGAGATGGACGAGAGGGGAAGGAAACATAGAATATAAAAAGAGAGGGTTTAAGAGAGGAGAATTTACACGTCTTCTCATCCCTTCTATGGACTATCGAAGAGAAGCGACAATGACTCTTTGTCGCTATTGATATGTTATTTGATTGTCGCTATTAGAAGCTACAGGAGAGAAGTAATAACATTAAACGATAGGTCGATAATTATGGAGGTAATTCAAGAGAAGCAACAATGACTCGGGAGAAAAATAGTGTTGTTGAGCGGGTGATCTATGGCGTTTGCTATGCTCTTTGTCGTTCCCGTGGGGCATCGAAGAGAAGCAATAGTGTCTCGTTGTTGCTCTTATTGGCTACAAGAGAAAAGAAATGATGTTAAATGGACAATCAATGATGTTCATTCATAGCACTCCTTATATCTCATGCGAGCTATAGAAGAGAAGCGACAAGACTCTTGTGAACTATGGGAGAGAAACAACAACGTTCGAAGCACTCTCTTGTTGGCAGTCAATGCTCACGATTATTTCCTTATCACTCCAAATTACACGTCGGTTCTTCTTCACAATGTATCCCTTTTGTTTTTTGCTTTTATACAATCAATTGATTTGACTCGATAAACTCAACTCGACTCATCCAAGTCGATCGATCTAACTTAGTCTACGAGTTGAGTCGATTCCATTATTTTTAGTGAACAGATTTGATCTGACCTACTAGAGCTAATCTGGACTTTAAGATTATACGATCATACGATTTCATTTAATAACATTGATATATTCGTAGATGTTTTTCCATCTCATTCTCTACTTTTGGAGATATACGATCATAGAGTGGACTCGAGTTACTCAACTCGAAATGACCAACTCTAAGTTGGCGAGGTTGATTATCGAGTAGGAGAGCGAGCAGTGCCGAATAGGTTTGATGGAATTCATTCAATACCCACAAGCAATCGAACAATCAAAGTAGAATGTGAGCATCACAAAATCAAATCAACAACATAATGCATTAAGTATCCTCTATTCCTATTTATGTAAATCGCTTATGCGACGAGAGATTGCTGGGATCTATTGGACGAATAACGATGATTTTTATTAGATAGTCCCGAGCTTGTTGTATCTATTAGACTAATAACATCTCGATTTTTAGTAGATTACTGGATCCACTGGACCAATAACATCACGATTGCTACCGCAGTCTCGAGCTTCGAACTACGAGTGTAAAGATAGAATAGAAGAGCAAGACTGAATGAATATTCCAATCATTGGGTTGGATCGAGCGGGTTGAATTTGAATCGAACCCGACTCGATTTAGATCAGCGAATGGACGACTCGAAACATATCATGCGTGTCATTCGAAATGTTCATCTTCGTTTCCCCATAAACGGAAATAATGCATTGGAAAATGCAAGGAGAAACGGATTCCGCTGATTGGCGGGTCACGCAGCCTCTTCCTCGGCCACGTTCAAGTTCCTACGCGGCATACCCGCTGCGCCTATCTTTCTGATGATTGGTGAACTAAAATCAAAGCGAGTGGGGACCATCGGTGGGCCCATGTGCCTTTTCACAGGGTGATTGCGAGGGTTCTGTTAGATTAGGTACGTAACAATTTCTGAGATGGAGATAAACCCGACGGAGTACAGCGCTGGGGGAAGCGAGCTGTCTCTTCACCACTCCGCTTCGGAGGCCCAAATGGCGAAGGCCGCGACTCCTCTCGCGGCGAGAGCGAGCGCGCTTTCTCGCTCTTCCAATCCCGTCCCCGCGCACCCCCCGCCGTCCTTCCACATACTGCCCCTTGCCTTGCCGACGCCTCCCCTTCTCCATCTCCCCTTACACCCATCAGTCGGTAAGCAAGTTCTCCCCTCACCTCGCTTCTTCTATTTTTCTTTGTTCCTGTAGGTGTGTTTGGGCTAACTCGAATTAATAGTTTGGACTATGCGGACTTGTTTACTTCGATACCTAAAGGAGTATGGTTATGCTTTGAATTGGTATTTGGGTTTCTTTATTTTTCTATTTGATTGATGTTCCGTCAAATGCATGGCTTTCCGCTTTTCTTGGCTTAAAGTGTATCTTTGACCATCTCTGGTTAGGGTTTCTTGAAAACAAGAATCTCGTGCTCGAGTCTGAGTAAAATACTTTTGCCGGAATCTGAGTGTAATTGTTGTTTGATTTAGGTGTGTTGGTCACTCCTAAGTGTAAGGAAACGCTTATTTTGTTCGTGGCACTAGTTTGAGCTCTGTAGTTCCTTACTTTGTTTGAATAAAGAATCTATCGCCGTCCAAATTCTAAAGTCTTCTTAACAAAAAGAGGACATGCTACTCAAAAATGGAACCTGGTTGACGTTGGAATTATGGTGGTTAAAGGAGAAACAGCACATCAGATGACCCGATGAAGGCCAAAACTTTAAAAGCATCAGTAAATAATCAACTAGAAAGGCAATGATCACACAGACATCAATTATCTTATAACATCTGGGATAAAATGATTTACCCAAAAAGCAAGGAAAAAGCTAGGATAATGGTAAAACTAGGCCATTGTGTTGTTGGAGATTGGGAGGTTAATGTTGACAATGCATAATAGAAGCTGGATATGGGACTAAGCCCTGCAAGGGTATAAGTCAGGGATAAGTCAAGTAGGGTTTGGATCGTGAAGGTAAATCAATGAGTGGTCTTGAGTTGGCAAACTTCTTCCATTTTTGGTGAACCCTCGTACCCGGAGAGTATATAAGCCACTTCATATTATGGTCATGATGATCAAACTAGTGTCATATTAGGAATCTATCTCATGCTGCATAAAGAGGTGGTCTTTTCACTTAACCTTATGGAAGGTTTAGAATTTTATATACTTATTCTCATTACATATCTTCTCTTTGACATGTTTGCTTTGTACACCATTACCACTTATGAACCATGCATTAGTGAGGAGCTATAGCAAACCGGTCAAATTTGCTTAAGCTTTAGATTTCTGCTCCTTTTTGCCATCTAATTTCTCCTGTGCTATCTGTTTGTATGATGCAATCTGCACACACATTATTATGGTGTTACCTGGATATTAACTTGTATTGATTCAGGAATACACATGAATTCTTTAGATGACAAATTACCTTCTAAAGCTTTTCTCCTCTGTAGTTAGATATAGATGCAAATCAAGGTTGAAACCAAAAAATTATGGTATCAGAGCTCAAGCATCCAGTGTTGGGGCTGGGAACTATGGAGGAGAGAGAGAAGAAAACAGCCACAGCAATCTCATGGATGGTTCTACCAGTGAGAATTCATCTAAATAGTGAGTTGTATACTATTCATTTTAAGTGTCCTCTTGTTATTATTTATCCACCATAGTTAATGGTTCATGAAATTATTTTTTATCTATTACCAAGTTTGGTTGTAGTTAATGGTGCATGAAAGTTCACTAAGTAATACAATTTCACAAAAGACAATAATTAAGCACTTCAATGGATTACATGTGTTTATCATTAAAAAAGTCCGTATGAAAACCTCTGTTTTCTTTTTGTCTGCTTCATAATGTTATTTTTGGATTTGACGTTTCTCTCCCATAGTATTGATCTAAGATGTGTGAAAAAAGTAAATAAAGCAAAAAGAAAAAAAAAAAGAAGGTAAGAAGCTAAAAACTTCATCTGCTTTAAAACATAAACCAAGTAGAATCTGTGAACCTTCGAAAACTTCTACCAGGATTTTTGTTCTCTGTACTCCATAGCATATACACCTGATTTTTATGTGTAATTCACAAAAATCTTGCAAGCAATTGGACACTTCTTGATAACATTAATTTACTTTTATATTCACTTAGGTGATGCCTTTGTAGGACTTAATATCCGTCTAGACACAAGTGATAGAAGATTTACTATTTGATATTCTTTGCAATATTTAGATGAAGAAAATTGTATATTTTTGTTGAGCATCATAGATGTAAGTTAAGAAACTAATTTATGTATGACTTAATTTGTATTTTATAACATGGCAGCCAAAAGTCTCTTTCTGGAGTCAATTACCAGCTGTCTATTGCTGGTGTCCTATTTGTTTCTGCAATAGCATTTGCACTTATTGTTTCCTTGAAGGGTGGTCCTTCTGCTCTCATAGCAACGCTTGCAAAATCAGGATTTACAGCTGCATTCACACTCATATTTGTTTCAGAGATCGGAGACAAGGTAATCAATTTATAAAATAGCTACTAGACCTGTTTTTTGCTTGTATAGTTATTGCTCATGTAATATCATCAATAATTTGTAAAACTACAATTGTCCTTTGATTCGTTCTTTTTCAAATTTATCTAGACACCGTTTTTGTTATCTTAAGTTTGAAATTAATTTGCTTTCTCAACCAAGAATTCTAGGGTTACATGCTAGTGAACTTGGTAGACTCGTTTGAGTATATATATCAAATGTTAATGTTATATGTCTGTTCACATAATTCTTTCTAGATCTCTACTTTTGTCTCTCTGTGTAATGGCTGAACCTGCTGAAAGAGAGTGTGTGTATGGGATGTCTATGATGGTTCCAGTTAATCAGTTTCTTTTAATGTTTGAGTTGCTTCTATGAAACTTGAAGTCTCCTCTTGATAATTAACTTATTTTTTAAACCGGTCAAGGAGTATTTGACATCGTCAACTGAAAGTCATTGTGTCCATGGTTGGCACATGCCGGCATTGTCCCATAACCTTGCCCACACACTAGGTGCAAGTGCCCATGTTCACTCATTAAATGTGTGGCATGTGACAAACACAACTACCAAAGCACATTTAGGTACCAAAGCCACGACAACCTGAACCTGCTGCACCATGCCATTAGGAAATTTGGCGATGGAACTGCTGCTATAAAGTATAAAGTTAACATTTTTTAAATGATTATTTAGGTTCATAATTCTTCTGCCGGTCCCATCTAGTGCCAGTTCAGGTGCATTAACTGATATTCCTGACTATACCTACAGATATCCATATGTGTTTCAACTTACATTTATAGGATGATTTACTTCTTAAATGATTATGTTATGGGCTCACATAGTTACATTTTCAAGAATTTGCATCTATAGTTGTTGTTTTCTTCTTGTCTGGTTTATCTATTATGCATCTTAACTTCAAATTGACTACGTTCAGATTCTGTTACTGATATACAGAAAAAAGTGATGGACTCTAGTCTTTTTTTGCAGACATTTTTTATTGCTGCATTATTGGCGATGCAATATGACAAAGCAATGGTATATTACTTGACCTGTTAATTGTTTATACATTCTTATCTAGGTGCTTACCTTGGGCTTTGAGTTAGATTCATGTGCATCCGTTTTATGATAGTGTCTGCTTCAACTTTGAGCGATCTAATGCTTAATGTCAATGCAAGATGTAGAAAGGGATACTTCTTGATACTTTCAATTAAGAGAGCCTTACAGAATTTATAGGGGTACAAGCTTGACAAATGAAGAAACTAAAGCATACAAAATCAGGAAACTAATCTCCCAAAAAAGGAGAAAATTTACAGAATCTGGAAGGTAATCTATTTGAAATAAAAAAAAATCTTCAAAATTGGGAAAGTAATATCCTCTTGATGAACGAAGAAACTAAATCATAAAAATTAGGAAACTAATCTCCTGAAAAAAGGGAAAATTTACAAAATCTGGAAGGTAATCTCCTTGAAATTAGAAAAATAATTTCATCGAAATTGGGAAAGTAATATACTCACATAAGAGGAAATAATCTCCATCAATAAACACTCCTCAAGCTGGTGAGTAAATATTTTCCATTCCCAGGTTGCCAGTAATATCTTGAAAGAAACGACTTGGAAAATCTTTAGTCAGAATATTAGTGAGTTGCCGAGTTGTCTACTTATGGATACATAGGTCATAGGAAATATTGATCATTCCATTATCAGTATTTTCTTTAATAAAATGTCGATCTACTTCACATGTTTTGTTCGTTCATGTTGAACTAGATTTTACACAATGCTAATAGCTGACTTATTATCACGATATAGTTTCATATTTCCGTCCCATCTTACTCCCAAATCATCAAGGATTATTTTCAACCATAATAACTCACAAATACCATGTGCCATGTCTCTGAATTCTGTCTCTGCACTAAATCGAGCAACTACCGACTTATTTTTTACTTCTCCATGTCACCAAATTTCCTCCTAAGATGGTACAGTAGCTGGAGTTTGATCTTTGATCAACAACTGATTCAATCTAGCCTGATCTGCATCAGTGTAGGCTTCTACAATATATTCAACTGCCATTGCTTCTAAATAAGATGCATTTTCCTGGAGTGAACTTCAAATATTGTAGAATTCTATGAGTGACCTTCAAATGAACCTCTTTAGGAAAACTCACTATGCTGATTGCATAAGCAATATCAGGTCTTGCATAAGATAAATAGATGAGATTCCCAACGAGTCTTTGAAATCTCCCCTGTCTGCTGACATGTCATCTATAGCATCTCCTAATTTGTGATTTTGTTCAATAGGTGTATTAGCTGATTTGCATACAAGTATTCCTGCTTCAATGATATATTTTTGTTAGAAAACAAGAATTCCTTTCTGAGCTATCTCAACACCCAAAAAATATTTGAGCTTTGCCAAATCTTTGATCTCAAACTCTTTGGCTAGTAGATCTCCGAGTTTCTTAATTTCTTCAAGATTATCACCAGTAATAATTATATCATCAACTTATACAATCAAAGCTGAAATTTTACTAATTGGTGACCTTTTAATTAAAAGAGTACGATCACCTTGCTTCATATCTTACATTGCCTGTGTGAATCTATCAAACCATGTTCTAGGAGATTGTTTTAGTCCATTGATGTCTTTCACAATTTGTAGACATTATTATTTTTAAATCCTTAATCAAATCCTGGAGATGCTTCCATATACTTCTTCCTCGAGATCACCCCATGTAAGAAAATATTTTTAACATCTAGTTGCTGCGTAGACCAACCAAGATTAGCCGCTAAAGATAGTAGTACATGTATGGTATTCATTTTTGCAATCGGAGCAATAGATCTCGTATGTTTGAGATAGCCTTTGGCCGCAAACTTAGTCTTATACCTTTCTGAAGTACTGTCAGCTTTATATTTTACCCAAATACACATAGAGCTCGAGGATCAAGTTTATCACGATGTTGAGAATGACCATGAATAAAAGAGAAAATAAAAAATCTTTGGTGCGATATGACTAAAATCATGAAAATTGAGAAAAAAAGGGAAAAAACTCTGTAAAATAGTAATTAAAGCTTTGTTTTCCAAATCCTTCGATGGTAATTGATTTATTAAATAAGTAACAGCTAATACTACTTCTCCCCTATATGTCTTAGGCATCTTTTTTAAAATAGCAATGCATGTGTTACCTCAAGAAGATGATGATTCTTTCTTTTAACAATGTTTTGCTTTGGAGTATCCATGATCAAAGACTTATGTTTCGCCTAGAGCGGTACGAAACAGGCAGCACGTACTGGTCCAAGTGCCAACCGATATGTAGACCGTCCTTGGTCTGGTCCGCCATATAAAGGGAAAGTGAGAAACCCTAAATCCCACTTCTATGTCGCCTTCACTTCTCATGCAGTCATGACTGATGTTGCAACTTCTTGCTATGACTTCCCGCCTCCATCTTCTCATTGCGACCGACGATCACTACTGGCAATCTTTGCTTGCTGCAACCTTGCTGAACATCACCACGCGCGATCTTTGCCCTAATCAATGTTTGTTGTACCACTCGAGTCGGTATAGTACAGGCAGGACGAATGGATCTGATTGGTGATCGAGACATGGATTGCCCAAGTGCTCGTCGACATGCACCAGCATACCATGTGTTAGTATACCGGTACAGGTCAGCATGTACCAACTTGGCAAATCATTGTGACGGGTTCGGTACCTGAAATGACAAACCTTGCCCCTAATCACCTCTCAAGTATGCCTCTTCTCCTCTTCCACTTCCTCCTTCCTCCTCCATCTCATCCTCTTCTTTCCTCTTCCTCCTTCCTCCACCGTCCCTTCCTCTTCTCCCTTTTTTTCTTCCTCTCCGAAACTCTAATACCTATTGGTGTATGTGTGTTGGTACACTGATACTGACCAATATGTACTGGTCTGACAAATCTCAGAAAGGGGTTTGGTACCTAAAACAGCAAACCTTGTCCATGACAATTGATGTATTATTCCTTTAGTTTTTTCTTCTGTTACCTGATGTAAGACTTTTGATTTGAACGCCAAAGTGGGTTTGAATCATTTTATGAAATTTAATGAAGATTGAACTAAAATCAGATTTTTTTTCAAAAGATAAAGCCAGATTTTTTTTCAAAAGATAAAGCCATGTCATTCGAGAATAATCATCAATGAAAGAAACATACCAATGAGCTACAGGAATATTTGGGATCCATGAGGGACCCCAAACATCATTATGAATCAATGAAAATGGATGAGATGATTTCTTATTACTTACTAGACATGAAACACCTTATTGTTTAGTCAATTGACAAACGAACGTCACAAAAAAAATCATTGACATCTAAGCCTTGAAATAACAATGGAAACATGTTTTTTGATAAGGAAAAGATGGATGTCCAAGACATAGATGATGAAGCCAACTTTGAATTTTATTTAATGGTTCTTTTTTCTGAAAGATAGGATTATAATAAATAGTTAATGCCATTACCACTGCATTATTCAAGATAGTAGAGCCCCACCTTTTCTATGGCATCCAATCGTCCTCCCCGTAACCTGATCCTCGAAAGTATTACAGGATTAGATAGAAAAAAAAGTTACACTATTTTAAATCTCTAGTAATTTGATGAATTGACAAAAGGCATACTGATAGACTAGGCATATGCAATTGAGACTTTAAGGAAATGAGGGTGTTAGTGCAGTTATACCTTGGCCTGCAGTAGTGGTTAAACCAAGGTTTGTTGTATCGCTCGAGTCGGTACAGTATGGAGTGGTATGTACCAATCCAATTCGTCATTGAGATATGGCTCGCCCAAGTCCTCATAGGCACGTCCTAGTGTATTATGTGTCGGTACACTGGTACAAATCAGTACGTGCTGTACCGACAAATCTCTGAGACGGGTTCAACACTCGAAATTGTGAACCTTGGGTTAAAGTTAAACTACCATTAGCTATAACTTCCCGATTTTAGGACATGGGCTGTAGGATTGAAAGTGGTAAGATGAGTTGGTCATATGGTCAGTGGCTCTTGAATCAATCACCCAAGATTCGTACCAGTAATCTTTAGAGGCATTTAAAGCATAAGAAATAAGATACTTACCTGATTGAGCTAGAGAAACAAAAGACACCATGTTTGTTTAGTGAAGTGAGGAAACTTTGAAGCTTTTCAGTCTTCTTTTTATTTAGCTCCTCAATCTCAATGTTATCAGACACCGAGCTTCCATGGATAGAGGTATCCTTAGACTGAGTGTAGTTTACTTGGCCTCCTCGTTGTTCATACAATTGTTGAATTCGATTCCCACCATTCTTTTCATAGAACCATGGTTTTCCATGTAACTGCCGACATGGCTCCTTGTTTTGTCTTGGTTTCTAGTAATTAGTACACCAAAGGCCATCTTTGTTGTGTGGCATTTTAGATGACTCACCTTTTCCAGGATCAATGTTAGACGCTGAACCATTATGAGTGATCAAATGACTCTTGATTGTCTAACATGACATTCCTCCTTCCTTGGTTGATGACCGAGAAGACTTCATCTAGGGGTGGTAGGGTTTTCCAAGTACTTAAATACGTTCTTGATCATATTCCACATTAAGTCTAGCTAAAAATTCAAGATACTTTTTCTTTCAACAATTATTAGTTACATAGCAACATTTTTACTATGCTCCATAGCATTTTGGTAATAATCAAGTTTAAGCCATGATCCTTGATTCCTTTCATAATATTGTAGTACTCAATTACATAGAAAGTACCTTTATTTGTGGAATGAATCTTGATCTTAATTTCGTAGATCTGAGCAACATCTTTGACTTTAGAATATGTTGTAAATAGAAACATGTACGTTCCTAATCTCTGGATGCGTTGGCTTCCAAAGCCATGTCATGATCATCGAATCTTTGTCACCCTGGCAACAAACTTTGGGTCATCTTCTGTGACACCCCCAATTAGTCCCACATCTGAAGTGGGCAATGACTAAGATTGACTTATAAGGGTCTGACGAGTGTACTTTGATAACTCCAGCTTAGGCATTTTGGTTAGTGGTTTGGAAATTAGCCTATTAGACTTAGGTCGTGACATCTTCGCTTGGTATTATTAGTCCAATTAAGTGCCTTAATTTTCCTTTTCCTTTTAGAAAAGTGGACACAAGTCGGGAAGATACCTAATAGTTTTGAGCCTAATGGAGGGATGAATTTTTTTAAGTTCACTATGGAATGGTTTGATTAAGGACAAAACTAGCAAAGGTTTGGGTTGAAGAAGACACGAGGAGAAAAAGAGAGATTTTGGGCCAATGAAGAAAGAAAAGAGCTTTTGTCCTGGTATCAAATAGACTCTAATGCCATGTATAAAAAGGAATACTTAATACTTTCGATTAAGAACTTATAAGGGTACAAGTTTTACTAGTGAAGAAACTAAAATATACAAACTCAATAAACTAATCTCTTGGGAAAAAAAAGGAAACTGATAATTACAATGGGAAGATAATCTTCTTGAAATCTGGAAAATAATTTCTTCAAAATCGGGTAAGTAAATTTCCTCACAAAAAAAGAAATAATCTCCAAAATCACCACAAGCTTTTGAAACGGATCAAAAGCTTTTTTAGTTAAGTTGCTTTTTTCCAAACAATTACCAAATTTCATAAATGATAATAATTGCTGATGCTGATGCCTTTATTCTCTTAGTTTCATATTTGATGAATATGTAAATTTTTGTTCCTGTATATCTTGTAATGGTTCGTATTCTTTTCTTTTCTTTGATGTCCACTTGACCATCAGGTTTTATTTGGTTCGATGGCTGCTCTTTCTCTTATGACAGTCTTATCTGTGGTAATAGGACGGCTATTCAATTCTGTACCAGCCCAGTTCCAGACAAGTAAGTTCTAGATGATGGTATGGTAAGGTCCAAAAGACCAAAATTATAATATGAATAAACAGAAGAATGCATGGTGTCTGAATGAATTGAATATTTAAATTAGAGACACATTTTCTTATAGATATTAATAAAATGCCTAAGTGACTGTAATTTACCAATGGCGTAGATAGATATTTTTTTGCCAACAGATGCCTAGCATGCTACTCTTGTGATTCTTATCCATCAGTGCAATGCTTCATGGTACTTACAAACAAGCAATTTTTTAGCACTACCCCTTGGAGAGTATGCAGCAGTGGCTCTTCTAACATTCTTTGGTTTGAAGTCAATAAAAAATGCATGGGAAATTCCATCAGATGCTGATACAAATAGCAAAGAGAAATCTGAACTTGGAGAACTTGTTGAAGCTGAGGAGCTTGTGAAGGAAAAGGTTAAGATAGCCTGAGAAGTTTATATTTTGTACTTGTTAATACATTAACTTTATCTTTTTTCAAATTTATCAGTTCTATGCCATGTTGTGCACCATGAGGGAGAGTTCACTGCCATCTATCGTTATGTTTGTTGTTATTGGAATTAGCTACAATCCTTGGTATGATAAACTAATCAATTCTGATGTGCCTTTCAGGAGAGTCCATTTAGCAATAGGTCTTTGAAAGCAAGGGCTTGAACCAGGGAAACTATTGCAAATTAATTCACAGCTTGAGGGATTAAATAATTAAAAGCAACACAGTTGATTAGTTAATATGATATTTGCACCCTGTTCTTCTAGGTGACATTTAAAAGTAACACAGTTGTAGCCCATGTGCTCAATTTGATAAGTTTCGTGTATTCAATAGTATAATGGGAAGCAAAAAATTCTCAAATTTTATTGTTTGTTGTGGTAACTTCTTTGTCTCATTTTGTTGAATATGAAAAATGAGATTACCAATGCATGGATGGAATTTGATTTTGTTCTTACAAGAATCTTTTGCTAAATGTGCTTACTTCTGTTTAACTTATTATTGTAGTTCATCTGGTAGAATGTATGATCCACATTTTAGTAGTATTTTATGATTTTACGAATTAGACTAACTTTCCTATATTATGCCACATTTTTCCTTTCAGATCATTTGCTTTTTGTCCCGGAGCCTGGACATGTGCACTATGTGCATTCAATGAAACTTCTCTTTTTTCTTTCTTGTATTTTGCTTTATTACCATTTGATGATTTCTCTTTGTTATTTTACATGCATATCAGCTTGTAAATATTTTCTGACTGAATGATAAGAAACGGGATATCATCATAATCCCTTTTTAATTCTGCTTGATATTTATTTTCATGAATGTATGAGGACAGACATGAAGAGTGTTTTCTCTAATCACCTTCTTTTCTGTCTCCTCCCTTTCGGTGTTCTAATTAGGTCTTTAAAGTTCTCAAAGTAAATGAGAAGAATTTATTTCTGTCACTATCCTTTCTGTGTCTCTACTATGTCGTCGACCATGAACTTGTGATTCTTCGTAATTCTAGTGGATTGCACTGGCTCTTTCCTTACAGTATGAAAGCCCTAGAAACATGTCTGACCCTATTGCTTATCAGTGCTGTAAATCTTCTTTTTTAGAATATCTAAACCAATTTAATCAAGGTGATGATTTTGTATGAAAAGCTTTCTCCCCGACATAATCCATTTTTTTCCATCTCGAACTGACTTTACAAATGGAGGGCTGTCTGAAGTAGCTCCACACTTCTACTACTTGGAGACTGGGTCATGTGGATGCCATTCCAGAATTGAGAATACTGTGGGTTAACTTTTATGTCATCCAGAAATTTATTTTGTTGCTCTCCTCATTGTAATATAGCTTCCTAGATAACAATTTAATCAACATAACAAATTAAGATGCTATCCTATTGGGTCATGTTAATGCTGATTGAATGTACCTTTTTCAAGAACTCATACCTGATTTTTGTTTATATAGGTAAAGAAGTAAGGCCAATCACTTTGGTGTATTCATGTGGAAAAAGTTATGATTGGTGGCTTGATCCTTTAGTACAAGTATTAACATTAATCTAATTGACATTTTTCATCCATGTGGTAATGGTGGCACTATTAATTGTTTATTTAAGTTTAGTGTTATGGTACATGGCAACTGTAAATGAAACTTTATTTGATTTGATTAGCTTATTGTTAACAAATTGAAGCAAATGTTTTTCTTGACATTGTTAGGCAATTCTATACAAGTAATTTAGAAGGTTGTTTCATGTTTGTGCTTGATCATTACAATTACACATATTACCAATTTGTATAATGGTGAGATTCAGGAAGCTAATATTTCAATCTTATTTTCTTCACGATGGTTGTATGTTATAGTACCATGTGATATAGATCTGTTTTTAAAGTAAGTGTTATAACATTTTCCATTGTTTGATGGAATCTTAATGCACTCAGGTAGCAAAAAAGCTTACAAATCCTTTTGAAGTCCTATGGAAGTCTTTCAGCCTTGTGTTCTTTGCGGTGAGCATTTTTTTGACATTTATCTTTATCTTCCTTTGTGAAGACACCGAAATCGAATGCATTTTATGAAAAAACTCGAGCGGCAGCATATTTAAACATGTCATCTCAGTAAAATGTACATTGCTTGTACAATTTGTTGAAATATGTTTCTAGGAATGGGGTGACCGCTCAATGCTGGCAACAATTGCTCTTGGGGCTGCACAGGTGTGGTTGTACGAATATGCATATGATTATCTTAAATATCCAGCATATATAGCAGCAAATATCATCATTCCAAGTTCATATTTTTTTTCAGTCTCCTTGGGGGGTAGCTGGTGGAGCTATTGCCGGACACCTAGTTGCCACATCTATTGCAATCGTAGGTGGAAGTTTTCTTGCCAACTACATTTCCGAGAAACTGGTAGGTCCTCATCGTTTATTTTTTATCTCACAAGTTGTCTGATTGAAATAATATTTAGGTTCGGATCTGGTTTGTGCTATGCTAAAAGATGACATTTAATTTTCAGGTTGGTTATTTAGGTGGTGTCTTATTTCTAATTTTTGCTGTGGCTACACTTCTTGGAGTTTTCTAATAGCTGGAAAGACATGACATTTTATTCTAAATCCATTGAAGAAACATTCTGTGTTCCAACGATACAACACAGGAATAAGGGGATTGTAAGGTGAGGTATATGTTCTTCCCCATGAGTTTAATTGTTTGGTTTCATGGTCAGGTTATTCGTTCTTGTGAGTTTAAGACGTTGGTTTCACCTGAAGAAACACACTGTGAGGTAGCCTGTAGAGTAATACGATATGTTACACCAATTTTACCTTCAAATATGGCCTGAGACACTGAGCTTAAGCATTGTGTTGAAACAAATGGAACTGTGAGCAGAGCTTGGCGGTCCTTTCTTTTTTTAATTTTGATCTACTGAGATGTTCATGTGAAATGTATGGATTTAGTCTAATAAGAGAAGATACGTTCACTTTCTAGCACCTATAGGGTTGTCTCGGACAGATGTTGGCTTTGAGTTGGACTAATTATCAATAGGTTATGTTGCATGGGGCTGTTTGTAGACATTGCTATGTTATTTTACTTCCGTATGTCAGATTTTCCCGGTTATTCATATGGTTTATCGTTGTCTTATATTTGACTGTGAAAACTTAAACGAATAAAAAAAAAAAGTCAAGCCCACTTGATATCATTTCTGATTTTGATATTTTTTCTTAGTTTACAGCATATAGTAGTAGAACCTCTTTCATCCTGTTTTCTTAGAAGTAACATGTCTAGTGGTTTTTAATTTTACTTATCTAAAGATTGTAGACTGGTTCAGATATGCATGGTCCAGCGGGTTGCAACTATACTTGAATGTGCAAATATTGGGAAAAAAGGGAAAGTTATTATTATAATGAGTGAGATGACTTTTCTTTAGAAAAATAGTAAAAAAAAGAGGGGTAACTTTAAGAAGTTATTATTATAATGAGTACATAAAAGTTTCATATTCAAAGTCATAAGGTCGTCCTTTGTTACTCTTAGATGTGCGGTCAATCATACCAAAAAGGAAAAAAAAAAAGCATTTTACCTTAAAAAAGGTCCTCGGTTTTAGTCAAATGACCTTTCCTTAATTAGTTTTTATTTGAGGTATTTTTTTATCATTTTGATAAAAATATCCCTTGGTTCTCCATCAGTTGTCTTCTTCGTCGTCGCCCTAGTATCTATTGTGAGTGGCGTTGTCTCCTTCTTTTTTCTTTTTCCTTTCTTCTCCTCCTCCCTTCCTTTGATGCTAGTCCTTCCTCATTGCCTATGTAGTATCGGTAGAACGTGGGCAAGCACATGTGCTGAATGAGAGGAGCGCTTGGATGTGGGGGGGGGGGGGCGGGCTCGTCGGTAGGTGGTGTGGTGGGTGGCGTAGAGGATGGCTAACTAAGCAGCAAATGAGGGAATAAGGAGGTCGTTGTGACTGTGGCCTTGTGGGGGTGGGGGGTCATAAGATTGTCGCCCTTATACCTTAAACCCTTCTCCAATTGTCGCTTTGTGGGCAGTGCTATATAGACAAAAGAGGAAGGGGGTAAGGTTATCGCCATGGGCAACACTACACAACAGTAGGATAGGAGGAGAAGGGGAAAGGGAGGAAACAACGAGCGTTGTCACTTACGATGAGAGCAGGAGTTGGCAATAGCACAAGTGACGATAATTGGTCTATTGGTGGAGGGAAGAATTTATTATTTATATTTTCTTATTAAAATTAAATATTTCTAAGATAGGCTTTAGTAAATAAACATATATGTTCTCAATTTATAATTTAATTGTAATAAAATCTTTTCACTCCGAACTTATAACCCCATTTCTTTCTTCTTCTTTTTTTTTCTTCTTTATCTCCTCCTTCGGTTAATCATGAGGTGATATGAAATGATAAAAAAGACATAACTAAATGAGATGAATTGAAGATTGAATAAGGTGAGATGAGTAGTATTTGATATTTGTTATGATGATTTAATATTTTTAGGATTATATCCATTATGTAATAGTCCAAAAGATTTCATCTTCTTCCGTGTCAATTATATTAACTCAAAAGATGTCATGTTTTAGACTTTTGCAAACTACGCAGGTGTGCAGGAGAGTGCATGAGCAGTGGCAAGAGCAAATGCTAGTAGAGTGGTGAGGTTGTGGGGAAAGAGAAAAAGAAAAAAAATAGATAAAAGTGAAATTAGAGGGGCTATAAATAATAAAATATTATTTTGTTAATTTTCAAGGCTTGTAAATAGTAAAGAGATTGTGAATAGTAAGGAGTCTCAAAATAGTAAGCTCATCAAAATATTTAATATTTCTAAATTATGTATTTGTAAATGGATATAAAATAATCTCTTCTTCCTCTTTTTCTCGTTCATCGAGGGGGCGATGAGTGAGACCAGATGGTGTAACCTGGTGATGAGTGATGTCGACAGTAAGCGACATCGATGACGAGAATAAAATAAGAAATTATGAGAAAAAAAAACCAATAATACAAGGATGATAAATAATAATATAATATTTTATTATTTTTAAAATAAAATTATCAATAATAAAGCGAGGGTTGTGAATAATAATATTCAAAATCAATTAGGGAGTCATTCGTTAAAAACAACACTCAGAACTTTTTTAGGTAAAAGAATGAAAGGCATGTGAGATTAATAGCCTCGTGATGTTCAAAGAAAACACTTCCTTACCTTCGAATTAATTAATTGCTCAATCAACAATGGCTCGTAGAAAGCTCCGTTAAACTGGTCACTATATCACAAGAAAATGCAGATACGTTGACTTTAAAGAAAAAGATAAAAAAACTTTATGGTAAAAAATTCATTCATTTCACTTTAATCCAAAGAAAAAGAATAAAACAGGGTTACCCTGAAAAGATTTATTTGTCTGCAAAAGTTTTTTTTATTTGGAATTTCACTTAATCCAATTTCACATTTGGTAAAAGACTTACTTCACATTCGCAATTGCAAAAACAAAAAAAAAATCACAAGTATGTCTAAAAAAATTCTGAGAAAATATCAATATTTGCAAGTTTATTTTTTTTAAATATTGGTTTATTTGTCAAAGAAAAAAGAATGCATTATAAAAAATAATTTAATATCATTAATTATATCACTTGAATTAGTATATAGTTATTAGATCTTTTATTTTGATTAACCTTTTTTTTTTTGAAATTCATAAAATAATAAATTAGGGAAGAAAATATATAATTATACCTGCTAAAAACCAGATTCCTTCATAGTTAATAGGGTCCTCACCACTTACCCAATTCTCCCAGTCTTCGATTGAATTGGCATTTTCTCTTCGATATTTTTGAACTTATAATAAAATATTTTGGAAGTAACGATAGAATTCCTTTAAAATATTAAATATAGAATAAATTAAAAAAAATGAAAAAGTTCTCGTGCGATAAAACCAGAAGACAAGGAAACAAAACAATTCGCAAGCCTTGGTCTTGGAATCTTCGTTTAAAGAAGCAAAAAATCTGGCAACAAAAACATCACCAAAAGCGTTTTCACGGAACGAAAACATAAAACAAGGAAACAAAACAATGTTTGGAGAAGCAAAAAGTTGGCAACAGAAACATTGCCAGACCCTCGTGTCCCACGCACGGCTAAATCTCCCTGTGTGTGTGCGTGTGTTGAAATCCAAGATCTTATTTCTCCCCTTCCTTGGTTATGATTGTTATGATGGTGGGTTGCTTTTCCTTACAGGAGGAGACAAGAAAGACTCTTGAAGTCAGAATCAAGTCATCCGTTGGGGAGTTTGCTCCTTTTCCCATTGTGTCGCGATGGATGATGACATGTTGGGGAATTTGGTACGCATGACATGATCCGGCCCGGCCCAATCCTTATGTATTCAGATTCATTCGACTTGATAGCTGCCGAATTAATCTGAACTCAACCCAATCCTGTGTCTTCAACGGGCCCGAACTCGGCCCAATCGTTCGCTCCAGACTAATGGGCTACTCCAAATCTGAAGGCGCAACTAACCACGATTCCCTTCCTTGCTCGCACGCCCGATGCCCTGCTCCCTGTGGAGGCGCTCCGTGCAGTCCTCCCTCGCCCTCTGCCGCTTCGACTCCATCCCCATCTCCCCTGGCCTTCCTCTCCTCCATCGCCGGCACTGGGCCCTGCCGTGTGAGTCCCTCCTCTCCGACAGCGAGTCCTCGTCCGCCCCCGAAGACTGCTGCTCCCACCACTACCACTCCCCGAGAACCACCGAGAGGATCAGCTACCGACCGTGCAGGCTCGCCGCCTCCCGACGAAGGTACTCCTTGTCAAGACAATGGTCCTGCAAGGCCGATATGATGAAGAGGATGCGGGCCAACCTCTCGCACCGGGGCTGGATTCTGGGCTCCCCGAATTCGCTCGAAGTCGAGCTGTGCGAGCGCAATGTGGTCGCCCTGCTGAACGATCTGTTCGAGGGCAGCTCCGACGCGGCGCTGGCTTTCTACTTCTTTAGGCTGTCGCAATGGTACAACGGTTCGAAGCACGGCGTCCGTGCGGTTTCCACTATGGTGCACATAGCGGTCACCGGGAATATGAACCACATCGCAGTGAAGCTTCTCCGAAGTATTGCTAGGAATGTTGACGAGCACAGCGACGGAGTACAGCATCAGCTGGTGTTTGATGTACTGAGAGAAACTTACAGTAGTAGGAGAGTTTTGGAAACTGTATATAGCATGCTCGTTATGTGTTACGTAGATAAAGGAATGGTCAAGATGGCTATTAGGTTGGTGGATGATATGAGGAACCTTGGCATGTACCCGACCATCCGTGTCTACAATTCTCTGATCAAGCTTCTGCTGGAATCCAAGCAGTACGAAGTTGCATGGCAATTATATGTGGAAATGCCTAGTAGCTCGTTTGGCTCTAACCAGTGGATCGTAAGGATCGTGAGCTTATTTATCCGGGAGCTCGGTGCTCATGGGGACTTCGACTGTGCTTGTAAATTGCTCTTTGAGATTCAGAAATACGGTGGCCAAGCCGATGTTGTTGTGTATACAACGATGATAAATGCCTTGTGCAAATGGGGGCTCCTCAAAGAGGCAACTGCTCTATTATATAAAATGTTGCAGTTGGGCATCTCTCATGATGATGTTTTGGTTTCTTCAGTTGTCAATGGCTACTGCAAAGCTGGTAGGTTGGTGGATGCCGCACATCTTTTGAACTCTCTAAGCGGCATTCCTGATGTTTTCGTGTATAACAGCTTCATATTGATGTTATGTAAAAATGGCAATATGGTAGAAGCTTACGAGCTGTTCAAAGAGATGTTTGAGGTGGGGTTGGATCCGGACTCCTTCAATTACACAGCTATTATTGATGGTTACTGTAGAGCATGTGAGCTAGATCAGGCTTTGAAGACATTTGCTCTAATGCTGAAAAGAGGGGTTAAACCAACTGTTATGACATATACAGTGTTGATAGAAAGTTACTGTGACAGAAATGATCTTTGTGGTGCAGAGTACATGCTTTCTGCGATGAAAATGGAGGGTGTGCAACCAGATGTTGTCACTTATAATACATTGATCAATGGTTACAGCAAGAAGGGTCACATGCATAGGGCATATGAGTTGAAGGATGTCATGGAAAAGGATGGTGTATCCACAGATGTGGTGACATATAATATTCTCATGCATGGACTCATCAAGAGAGGCTATGTCAAGGAATCAAGAGAAGTCTTTAATGAACTTGTTAGAAGGGGGTTTTCTCCTGACAGAATCACATTTACCAATGTAATCGACAGTTATTCTCAAGATGGAAATTTGGAAGAAGCATTTCTCATATGGTGTAGCATGAGCAATAATGAAATAACACCTGATGTTGTCACTTGTAGTGCTCTCCTTAATTGTTTCTGCAAAAGGCAGCGCATGCAAGATGCAAGTGTTTTATTTCACAAGATGTTGGATGCTGGATTGGAGCCTGACCTAATATTGTACAACACTCTCATATGTGGATTCTGTAAAGAAGGGAATATTAGTGAAGCTTGCCGTTTTATGTTCATGATGAATGAAAATGATATTTTTCCTAATAATCTTACATATGAGGCTCTGGTTTGCTGCTTTGAGAAAATTGGAGTGAAAAATGCAGCTGAAAATGCTGCCATGAAGATGCAGGAAATTTTCTTTGAAAAATGTAATGATTGATTCTTGATGAATTTTAGATGTGCTTTGATGCCATTATATTGATTGGTGGAGCTTTAAAACAATTGTTTCACCTGCCATCTTCAAACTACCATGAGGGTGAAGTTCCTTAGAGAAACTTTGGTGGACAAGTCTCTCTATTCAAGCCAGTAAGGTTGTCAGCCAAACAAAAAGACTAAAGCTGCATGGTATGTTCCGGTATTTGTCATATGCATTTGTACATTTTGTACCTGGAAATGGATTTTTCATTTTAAAAGAAGAGACAATTTTATTATCCCTTTAACTGATTTTTCTTCTCCGTTTAATTGTGCCCTAGATATGTAGCTTATTTCTTGCAAGTTCAGATCTAATATCTTCCTTTGAGTTGGTAATTCTTTTCTGAATTCAGAAGTTGGTAAAGTTATTTTTGATCTTGATTGTGGTTGGCAGGAATATACATTTGTTGTTTGTTTGAAAAGAACATAGGATACAGATCCATTTGGTAATTGCACCTATATTTATCAAACCTTTTCTCGATTCTGTGGTTCTCAGCCTTTTCTAGATTAGGTGGTTTCAGCTACTTTGGGGTCATTCATGTTAGCCGTCATATAATATCTTCCATATGTTTTTTGAGGTATCTTTTTTTTTTTGTCCAGACTTTTAATATAGCTTTTTCTTAACATTTGTTGCTTCCCATTCAGGAGTATACTTCCATAGTGTGGTAGATTCCTCCCTGAGCAAATATCGAAGACATCTTGATTTGCTACCTCAGTCACGATTTCCTTCAATTCTTCGTTGATCCACTTTCAATTCAAATGGAGGAGCTTTTACATTTAGGTGAGCTTTACATTTCACAATCACACATATATTCTCGGAAACATGAAGGTGAGATTTTACATTTATGTTGTGTTCATAAGCTTCACAACCTTTGGTTGTTCTACTTCATCAGGTACTTCATTGGATAGTGAAGACATTTCACAATCACAAGAGACTTGCTAAGAACCAAGTAGTTGTATGGTAACCTCTTGAGTTCAAGAGTTCTGAATTGAGTACTTGCATTATTAGCTTCATCCTCTTATCATATGCAGCATTACATGATGCAGTGATGAATTGTCAAGGCTGTCCATGGCCAAGCTTCCACCAAGACATTGAGAAGATATGTGAGGAGGATACTGAGTTCAGGGTTCTGCAGAATGATACCTGTGACAGAATACTCTTCTACAGTGCATTGTGCTTGAGACTTCTTGGTAGCTTTTAACGTAGTCAACAGCAGTTCCCTCAACCTGAGATGGAAGAGCTTGGTTACGATGGATACTGCAACAGTATGGATTATTACGGACATTACCTGCTCAAGGATGATCAGAGAAGGGCAGTTTCGAGGGTGAGGGAGCTGTTGAGAAGAATTGAGGTGGTGAAGTCACACAAAGGAGGAAAATAAGGCACAGAAGTGCAACTCTGCAACCTACATTGTGAACATGGTATGCTGTACCATGACTTAATCTCCCTTGTAAAGACATAAATTCATGTTTGACTTCCTTTACAGTCTTATTTTTATGAACCATTATAATGTGTGGACACATTAATACGAAGGTCTTATCTGATTCTTCTGGTTACTAGGGTGATTTGTGATGTTACAAGCACCAGCATGCTTAGCACAGATATTTATTGAGCTTGAACAGTAGCTTCATTTCTTGAACAAAAAGTCAACCAATTCCAGCATGGAAGAAATGAATCATGCCATATGCCTTCCCTTTTTGTACCACAAGGAGAAATGATGACTGCTGATGGAGTTCCAAAGGTCAAGGAAGCTTGTGATGACATGGCAGAGTGAAAGATCAAGTTTGGCTTATTGAACTAGTTAGTGCTTCAAACAGAATCTACATTTTATTAGCAGTATTTGGACATTGGAGAATAATTTTTTACAGAACCCAAATCTGATGAATTGAGAACTAGAATTACGTATTCAAAAGCTGAGTTAACAAATAAGGTGATGCAATTAGTGCGGCTCCCAAATTGAAAATTGGAGATCAAGATGTGGTTTCATGTTTCGTCATAAGGGAGCAGAAGATGCAAGAGTCACCTACCAGAAAAGAAGAGGACAACATTGGCATTCAGGTGGAGGGATTGATCAAAAGACAATATATATTTGAGAGACATGATTATATGATAAACAAAAACAATATTGGCATTCAAGTGGAGGGATTGATCAAAAGACAATATATATTTGAGAGACATGATTATATGATAAACAAAAACAATAGTGACTAAAAGCATGAAAAGATCTTATCATCTGCAGAAGATGCAAGAGTCACCTGCCAGAAAAGAAGAGGACAACATTGGCATTCAGGTGGAGGGATTGATCAAAAGACAATATATATTTGAGAGACATGATTATATGATAAACAAAAACAATGGTGACTAAAAGCATGAAAAGATCTTATGACAGTTAATGTACCTCATGCATGGATCACTTCCATATACATTGTTGAGAATGTAGCTTTCCATCCGACAGAAGATCTGAAATAGTCTTTGCAAGCTGTGCTGCTCCATGTCGAGGAATTAGAACATCAGGATTACATCAAACAGCACATGGGTCCCCATGGCTTCCACCTAAACACCAACCTCCAGGAACTATCCTACCAGGACCCAGGCTCAAGTTTCCTTGTCAATGTGGTCAAGAACAGGATCGTTCTTAGAGAACCTAGTACCAAATGCTGCACCACTTAAAGTAATGTTTTTAAGGTTATCAGCAGATGGGTTCCTTCTTTGGAGGTGCACCCCATATCATACAGTGTAGGTGATGATTGACAATAGTCCTATTGAATGCTGGCGAGTTACCAAGGACAGTTTGGAAATAGTTTGTGTATGATGACAGTGTATTTGCATAGTCCATCATAAAAGTTATTGGCAAATTGTTGGTACCCAATATGCAGTACTCTGTAAATTTCCAACTGAGGATAACAGAAGCAGAACCTGCACCAGAATGCATAGTAACTTTTCTTGCATCTCCTCTCTCTCTTAAACATAATTGGAAGAGAAAAGCAATAGAATTGCATAATACAAACTGCATGATGAACATGCCATGACTTTGTTTATCTCAAATGAAATTATCTTCAAAACATTATTCAGATATTTTCTGAAATTGTCTGAAAAAGGAAACTTCAGCAAATGAAAGTGGATTATAATGTAACAGAAGGTTTTAGAATTACATGACAGAGGATGTTCTGTAGAAATTAAAATTTCTGGGATCTAGAATTATAATTTAATATTTAGGATTAATATTTAAATGCCTGTTGGATCAGTTTCGGTCACTCGATATTTACTGGTTCGAACAAGCACAGGTATTGAAATCTATAGCTCAATAATGATGCACTATAGTTCTTTTTAATTTTTAATAATTTTATTCAATAATGCTATGTGTTATAGGTTTGTATATTCCTTGGTATAATGATACTGTACCTGTCTGATAGGTTAATGAAACCTGAATTTTATTGAGACTTAAAACCTTCTTTGGGATGACCACTCTCAAATTTTTACTTTGTATTTGTTCTTTTGAGCAATAGGTATTTCAGGTACTTAAATAGTACTTAACATACAAGTTTACACAATCCTTCTCTAGATATTTGAAGAGCTGTCAAATAATTTTTATAGCTTTGTATTGCTCATCTCCTATGACTTCATGTATCTTATGATCTAAATCATCTACTTTGTTGTAGATAATCATTTGAAGCATTACCATGATTCTTATTTGCTTATTGCCATTTATACTATAATATGATATCTGTAAGATTGTTGCCAGGATTGATTGGAACCACCTTATAATTTTAATTGTTGCATATTCATGTGAATTTTGTACAGTTCTACAGCTTAGGTGGGTTACTTTCTTGAACTCAATTCTTGTATTCTGATTCACTTCTTCATTCCTTTCTCTCCTGAGTCCTCTTAACAAGTGGCTTAGAGAATTTTGACTAACTTCAAATGTCAACCTTTCATCATGGATGCTGAAATCCTACTCAACACGTTATACATATGGTTTTATCAAATTATCGATTACATTTGTAAATTCGAAATCGGTGTCCTTGAGTTTCAACTTGTAGAAATTAATAGATTAAACTTTCAAAGCGATTTCAGTCATGTCCTACGATTAGATTTGCTGGAGTGTTGATATGGAGGTTGAGAAAGTTGCCAAAAATGGTTGGAAAGTTGTCATAAGGGTAGGAAAGCTAACTTGTATGGCAAACAAATAATAGAAAAGAGGAAATTTATAAGGATAAAAGGAAGAAGGCATCAATCCTCCTTTCCTTATTGTTCTCCTATGGCTAAGTATCATCTTCAAATATCAATATAAAAGTGTAATACCCTGATTTAGTCTCACAATTAAAGACTAAGATTGACTTGTAAGGATCTTATGGGTGTACTATTATTAACTTTGACTTAAGCATTTTAGATCGATGGTTTAGGCCTAACGAAGTTTACAGACCAATTATCCTATCAGGTCGGGTTGCGACAATTGGCATCAGAACTAATCTAATATTGGGGCATGGTGAAAGGCTCAAGTGGGAAAGGCCTACTCGTGAACAAGGTCAAAGGGCACATCACAACGTGTATCCACCACTGGGGTATGCCTCTCATGGTAGCTATGCTAGGCCCCGATCATGATGTCAAGCCCTTAACTAATGGAGATTATAATCCCTATCGATTTAGTCCTACATTGAAAGTGGGTAAAGACTAAGATTGACTTGTAAGCATTTAATGCGTATACTACTATTGATTTTGACTTCAGAATTTTCAATTAGTGACTCAATAAATTTAATAGATCAGTTATCTCATCAAGTTGGGTCGTGATAATTGGTATTAGAGCCGACCTACAATTGAGGCAAGATGAGATGCTCGAGCAGGAAAGGGGCTATCATGAATGGGGCCAAAGGGCCCGTCACTATGTGGAGCCATCACTGGACTATACCTCACATGTACTATACTAGGCTATGATTCTAGGTTATGCTAGGCTTTGATGAGGACGTCAAACCCTTAAGTGGGCAAGATTATAATACTTTAATTTAGTCCCACAATGGATGTGGGCAAAGCTAAAATTAGCTTCTAATGATTTGATTGTTGTACTCCTAATAGTACTTTGACTTAAGTATTTTAGGCCAATAGTTTAAACTCAATGAAATTAATAGGTTAGTTATTCCGTTAGGCTAGGTTGTGACAAGAAGACATTGTTCAATGCAAGGTCTGCAATTTCGTATCGTACCGGAGTTTCGACGTTCGTTCGGTACGATATGAAACTGTATACCGAACGGTATATCGTTCATATATATATATATATATAATTTAAAAGGCGACGTCACATCGCCTCAGCGACATCGCCTTTTCCTTCCCCCACGTGGGGCGATGTTGCCTCTTTTTTTTAAATAAATAAATAAATATATATATTTATATATAAAATATTTTTATAAAAGGCGACGTCACGTCGCCTTATATATATGTATATATATTATTTTATTATTTTTTTCTTTCTGCCCAGTAGCGGGCGGTCCGTGTACCGATAAGCTGATGGACCAGTATGTACCGCCCATACCGGGCGGTATCATTCAAAATTGCATACCTCTTTAATGCCCATTGATAGCTTAATGTGCCATGTGCGACCACCGTGGCTAGTTTCATACAGAATATTCTGACAGGGTTTGGCTGTAACACTTGAAAATTTTAAGCTACATTTTGCTGCAATTTGAAGCTTAGGGACCAACTTGAATTTGGTTGATGATTCTGAGACTGCCTATATAATTTTTTCTATCTGCAAGGACATTTTTAATTTTGTGGTATGCATACTTTAAGTCGTTGTAGTCTGTCTATCTAGTCAAACATGTTACAAGTGAATAGGAAGACCATGGAGGCTGTCAAAATAATTAGAAAAGATCGATTGGTCAAGTTTATACTGGGTTTGAGCTAGATCTAGAACACGTTCTAACTTGGGACTTATGGATCTTGCAAATTTAAGAAACCATACAATCTGATCAGGAAGATGTTTGAGTTGAATGGTTATACAGAACCATTAGTGAGATTTTATGATTGGTTTTCATCCTTATATCAAACATCATTCTAGTGACAAAATTCTAGTTTGGGCAAAACTAGGCAAGAAGAACATGGTTTATGGATGGGGATTAAAATTTGACTTAATTCATAAAGAACAAGGTCTTGTTAATATAACATTCTATCAATTATGTTTTAATCATGTAAAGATTTTCTTTATATGGCGAAGATCAAACATCTTATGCACCATATAGAAGAATAAATTGAGTTACTTTTGGGTGTAACATTAATATGAACCTGATACCAAGCTGGACCATCAATTTATCCCATTTTTTGTGAATAGTCATTCATTCAAGTTTTGCATTAAATGATAGGCTTAAGGTTTTGCCTACTAATTCAGGTTATTTCTGGATAACTCCAACTTGCTCACTTAGAAGTCAAATGTTTTGGTTCCAGAGAATAAAATTTCTGTTGCGTTATGACATTATGAACTCATGCGTTTCTTACAAATCTTAACATGAACCTCATGCTAAATGAAGCTTTTTTTTCTATTCAGATCCATCTGGGTTTATATTATTCCCTCTTGTTTTTTATTCTTTTGACCTGGTGGTATCATCTATTGGAATACTGTCAATCAGGGGTACACGTGATCCTGGACTTATTGACCCTATTGAGGATCCAATGGCTATCCTTAAAAAAGGCTATTCTGTCTTGATTATTTTGGCTGTTTTGACATTTGGTGTGGTAAGCAATAAGTAATTAATCTGTACAAATGCCTACCTAACATGTATATCTCATGCTCACTTCATCTTCCACTTTAGTATTTTTTTTCGAATTTTGTATTCTGGTTGCTCGACTATTTATTATAACCTGAGATATTAATATTTTGTTTACTTGTTTGGCTTTGATCTTTGACAGTCTACTTCATGGCTCCTTTACACCGAACAGACACCTTCTGCATAGTTAAACTTTGCCTCGTGGATTGGTAGGAACAGTTACTGCATATGCTTTTGTTTGGATCACAAAATATTACACTGATTCCAAGCATGAGGCTGTTCGTGTGTTAGCACATTCTAGTGCTATGGGTCATGGAACTAATATAATTGCCAGTGTTAGCTTGGACTAGAATCAACAGCTCTTCCTGTTCTGGTGATAAGCATAGCTATTATCACAGCATTTTGGCTGGGACATACATCAGGTTTAGTAGATGAAACTGGAAATCCAACTGGTGGTTTATTTGGCATAGCTGTAGGAACAATGGGAATGCTTAGCACTGATGCATATGTTCTCACCATGGATATGTTTGGTCCTGTAGCTGATAATGCTGGTGGTGGAATTATGGAGATGAGTCAGCAAGTACATATCATTGATGAGTATTTTTATATGGTTGATTTAACATGTGTGAGTGCTTATCTTTTTCATGTGCTTTTGTGAAATCAACTTCTATCAGCTCCTTTGAAACTTTGAGAGAGATGAGAGGTCGTACTGACATTAAAGCATTAAATTGGTCACTTTTTATCTAATATGTTGCAGCAGTAACTTTTTTGCTTGCAGCCTGAAAGTGTTTGGGAGATCACAGATGTTTTAGATGCTGTACGTAACACTACCAAAGCTATTACTAAAGGATTTGCTATTGGTTCTGCCGCACTTGCCACCTTCCTTCTTTCCAGTGCAATCATATCCCTTTTAAACAGGTACTAATATTTATGTTCTTTAGTTTGCATAACTTTTATAAACATCCTTGCTGGTGGATTTGTAGTTTGACATTACAATTCCAGAGGTTTTTATAGGAGGCTTGTTAGGTTATATGCTTATATTTGTATTTAGTGCCTTTGCCTGCTCTGCTGTTGGAAGAACTGCACAAGAGGTTAATAATGAAGTTCGTAGACAATTTATTGAGAGGCCTGGTATAATGGTGAGTAGCCCAACATCTCATGTCAGGTAAAATTTGACGATATAATGAGTCAGGATATTGATATAGCATTCATATCCGGCACTCCAGAGAAAGCCAGACTACATTTGCCATTGTGGCATCTGCATCATTACAAGAAATGATAAAACCTGGTGCTTGGGCAACTATATCTCCAGTGGTAATTGGTGTCTTAGGTTGTAAAAGTAGGCAGCATCTCAGTTGGTTTGTGCATACATTATCGTTTATTAAAGCAGAAAGTTTCGCCTGCTATTTCATGATTTGAGGTTGGTCTTTTATTCGGTTGGCAGGACTTTTCTTCAGGTTATTGGGCCACTATACTGGTCAGCAGCTTCTTGGAGCCAAAGTTGTGGCTTTGATGCTTATGTTTGCAACAGTTGTTGGTATTCTTTTGGCTCTGTTTCTAAATACTGCTGGCAGTGCTTGGGATAATTCAAAGAAATATATAGAGACTGGTGCACTTGGGAGGCAAAGCTAAAGTTCACGTAGCTTAAGTTCTTTTTCTTGCCTTTCTTTTTCAGTTTTTATTTTGTATTTGTTGCAGGCAACATGTATATAACTGAGTTTTCAATTTGTAACTGAAAACGGTATATCTTTTTCCAAGGTTATAATTGTTGTAGATGTTTTAGGAGACAGATCTTTGTTTAAACTTATAAAGACAAATAAAGAACAGAAAATCAAGATAAAAAAGCTTAAATTATAAACAAAGAAAACATGAAATCACTAAATTTCATTCCTAGGATTTTATCAATTTTTGGTCACTTGGTTATACTTTCCAGTTAGCAGAGGTCTAACGGTGCTATTGAATTAATGTATATATGGGAGTATAATTACTGGGAGATCTGATTCTTAGCGGTTTATGGAAGAGTACCATGCATTTGTCCCTAGATGCTGAAATCTATATTAGGTGCAAGAAATATTAAGCATATTTCTTATTTAAAAATAAATCTTCAGGTCTGTAGGAATCATTTTTGGCAAGTTATGCTATATAGTGTTTTCAGATCTTTGAAAAATCAAGTGCTTTCAATTATGCTGTTTGAAGTACTGAACTAAGTTTCTTATACTTACAGAGTTGGAGATCCATTCAAAGATACTTATGGTCCTTCAATACATGTTCCTATCAAGATGCTTGCCACAATCACTTTGGTCATGGCACCCCATCTTATCTAGTGATATCCCACCTTTATTTGTTCAAATATACAAAAACCCTCAATGCATTCTTTGAAATGTGGGTAGTTACTGGATTGAAAAAATAGTTGTTATTTTTCCTGATATAGAGCAAGATTGCGAGATACACTGCTTACATTCTTTACTAATACATGGATTAATCATACATACATGCCTTTTAAGGCCAAGGGTTTCAGATTTAGGTAAGATACAGATCTATTTTATTTTTTGCAGTGCATGACTGGATGTATTTAATTGATCCGTAATCACTGCTCTCATTATTGGAACAAATTTGTGATGGGTGCTGTTTTCTTATTTTCATGATGAGAAAGGATTTAAAGGTGACTTGCTTGATAGTTACTCATCATCCTGAAATTACATGAGGTTTTGCCCGGCAGGTATGCTGAAATTTGCTGGTAAGCATCCTTAATAAGCATCAACCCTTTTATAGGTTTTATATTGTTGTCATTTACATGTTGTAAGCTACTGCTACTCTCTGCAAATCCTCTTTAAGTATAATGTGTATCTGGAAAGCTGTGTAAAATAATACTATCTTAATCCAGCATAAATCCAGCTTTTTTCGTTAAGTCTGCTTTTTAGGCAGACTTGAGATAGTATTTTGAATGAATAAACTTCATGCCATGTAAACATTTTTCTTTCCAGGCAAAGTAGCTGGGGCCTAAATCTGCTTTTTCTTAGTCGATTGAGTGGATGATGTTTTGATGCATCAGTTTTCCTGCAATTGCTGCACCTACCGGGAACATTGTAGCAGCGTGTAATCCCAGGTAGCTTGTTTGAGCGTCTGTGTTTTGTGCAGCCTGCATGGTAAATCTGATCCTACGTTTTGTAAGATCGACAATGGGACTAACTGAAGCAAATGCTTGCTAGACAAAAGGGATGAGGCATACTAATCTGCTCTGATTTCACTAACCAGCCTACTTATTCATTAGTGATGATTCAAGCAAATTGCTAAAGAAATCATCAAGGAGTTGTAATAATGGGGTGAGAGACATTGTTACCAGAGCTCTGGCGATGATACTGGGTATGCTTCAATTGTTATTCCCATATTTAATATGAAGTAATATAAGAAATTTTTATATGATTCATGTTCTTTACTTTCTGAGTTGCAACTATTTCTTTTCAAGGTCTATTTGGGATTTTGAGAAGAGAGAGATAATGAAAACTTAAAATAGGATGTTTTGTGATAAAATCTCTTCAATCCTGATAAATCACTAATCTCATAGCATCTTATTTTTCTCATCTTAATTAAAGTGTAAAAGGTAAGGGACCTTTTCAAAAATCTACTCATTTTATCAAGTTTGATAGGCATAATGTGATCCGATCTGACTCAATCCATATATATTAAGATTAGTTCGGATTGATAGGTGGAACTTAATCCGATCTTTTGCTTGTCCAAAATTTAAAGGCACAACCACGAATCCCTTCCTTGCTTGTGCATAGGATGCTCTGCACTCTTCGGAGGCGCGCTCTGAGCAATGAGTCTTGAGGTCCTCTTTCATTTTCTTCCACTTTGACTCCATTCTAATCTCCCTAGCCCTTCCTCTCCTCCATCGTAGGCATAGCGTCCTTTCGTGCGAGCCCCCCCTCTCCGATAGTGAGTCGTCGTTCTCATTCGAAGGTTGTTGCTCCCACCACTACCACCAGACGAGAACTATCAAGAGGATTAGCTATTGATCGCATAGGCTCGCCACCTCGAAGCGAAGATACTTGTTTAACAATGCTAAAGGTACGATAATGATGTAACAATAGTAACATGATAAAGAGGATGTTGTCCAACCTCTCAACGTTGGATTATGGATTCTTGTGTTGGATTATATGATACTATTTAATTAGATAAGATATATTATGAATATAATTACATTTTGATTACAATTATTGCTTAATAGAAAGGAATTCCAAATTATGTCCTTTTATTTACTTTCCATGAATACACATACATAAAGATACGTAAGTACTCAGATGTTTGGATACGTAATATAATTAATAGATTACATATATTAATTGATAGAAGTTGATTTTATCGCATGTTTTGAGATAACAAATTAAGTTTTATGACTGCGAAATTCTATCTCAGGATTTAGTGTGATCGAACTCAATTGTTAAGTTATTGAAGATGTTTTGTGAGATATCATAGTAGTTTTCTTTTGTAAGAATAGTAAGTACTATTATAGCTCTATCTATTATAGTATAAAGTACTTGATGGTTAGAGAAAAAAATTTAAAAATAATTAATATTAATTAATAACTTAAGTTTCATTATATTGATTATTGATATTCACTTAGGATTTACAATATAAAATGTTTGAAATAATGTATTCTTATAATTGGATTTGTAAGCTATCCATAAAAAAAAAAAATGATGATGCATATTTCAGTTCATTAAACTTTGTTATTACGTTGCAGTGATGAATTGTCATGTCGATGGCCCAACTTCCACCGAGACAATGAGACCAGCAGTTCTCTCGGCCTGAGACCGAAGAGCTCGGGGACGATGGACACAGTAATGGTGTGGCTTGTGATAGTCGATGAGCAGAGGACAGTTTTGAGGAACGGGGAGTTGAAAAGAATCGAGAGATGGTGAAGTCACACGGAGGAGGAAATAAGGCACAGAAGTGCAAATCTGCAATCTAGAGTCTCATTTTTACGAACCATCATATTGTATGGACACATTCAATATGAAATGTTTCTTCCATGCATCGGAGAACACAAAAATACACCACGAATTTGTTTTGGTTGTTCAGATATTTACAGTCTTATCTGATTCTTCTGGTGACTAAGGAGCTTTGTGATGTTACAAGATTCAGCATGCACAGAACATATACTTACAGAGCTTGAACCGTAGCTTCATTTCTTGAAGAAATAAACTCCAGCATGGAAGAAATAAACCATGTCAGATGTCTCCCCTTTTTGTACCACAAGGAGAAACGCTGGCTGCTGATGGAGTTCCAAAGGTCAAGGAAGCCTGTCATGACATGACGGAGTGAAAGATCAAGTTTGGCTTGCCATACTATTAAGCGCTTCAAACAGAATCCACATTTTGATTAGCACTATTTGGACATTGAAGAATAAATTTCTACAGAACCCAGATCTGATAAATTGAGAACTAGAATTATGTATTCAAAAGCTGAGTTAACAAATAAGATGATGCAGCTCCCAAATTGAAGATTGGAGATCAAAATTACAAAACCAAGATGTGGTTTCATGTTTCCTCTTAAGGCCAAGGAGCAGAAGACGCAAAGAGTCACCTGCTGGAAAAGAGGATGATGTTGGCATTCAGGTTGAGTAATGGATCAAAATGACAACATATAATTGAGAGACATCATTATATGATAAAACAAAAACAATAGCGACTAAAAGCATGAAAAGATCTTACAGCAGTTAATGTACCTCATGCATGGATCACTTCCATATACATTGTTGAGAACGTAGCTTTCCATCCGACAGAAGATCTGCAATAATCTTTGCAAGCCGTGCTGCCCCAGGTCCAGGAATCAGAACATCAGGATTACCCCAAACAGCACATGGGTCCCCATGGCTTCCACCTAAACACCAGCCTCCAGGGACTATCCTACCAGGACCCCGGCTCAAAGTTTCCTTATCAATGTGGTCCAGAACAGGATCGTTCTTAGAGAACCTTGTACCAAATGCTGCTCCAGTTATAGTCATGTTTTTAAGGTCATCCATAGTCAGTAGACGGGGTTCCTTCTTTGGAGATGCATCCCAGATCATATAGTGTAGGTGATGGTTGACAATAGTCCTATTGAATCCAGGAGAGTTACAAAGGACAGTTTGGAAATAGTTTGTGTGTGATGACAGCGTATTTGCATAGTACATCATAAGAGTTCTTGGCAAATTGTCAGTACCCAATATGCAGTACTCTATAAACTTCCGACTGAGGATAACAGAAGCAGAACCTGCACCAGAATGCATAGTAACTTTTCTTGCATCTCCTTCTCTCTTAAATTAATTGGAAGAGAAAAGCAATAAAATTGCATAATACAAACTGCATGATGAACATGTCATGACCTTGTTTATCTCAAACAAAATTCTCTTCAAAACATTATTCAGATATTTTCTGAAATTGTCTGAAAAAAGCAAACTTTAGCAAATGAAAGTGGATTATGGAAACAAAATATCCAGACTTCGGAGATGACAGTAGTCAGAGGACCATTACCACAAAGAACCAGTGCTCATAAAGTGATTTTACATACAAAGTAATCCAAATATAAGAAGAAACATAACAACAGAATAAGCAATTTACTTGTTGCACATCAGTCCTTAATGTATCAAGAATTTCCGCTTGATTGTGATTCTCAAGAATCTTGTGTCAGATTGCTAGGTTTACTGAAAGGTAGACTAGACCTCTGGAAAGACTCAAAAACCTGGATAAACAGTCACCAGCTGCATTGACTTCCTTATATATTTGGACTCAAATATAGAGTCAGAGATCTATCTAATCAATATATATTTTATGAAAGATTCACATGTATCTAACATACACATGGATCCTAAGTACTATAGTCCAAATCATGAAAAAAAAATTGTATTGCCATGCCCTAACAACCTAACCAACCTAAAATGCTATTAGAGTCTTTTCTATGAAGCTCTACAGCAACCAAATCAACCTATTAGCACAAAATCCCATGCAAAATCATCCTTGCGGTGTGACCAAGAAGCTTAAAGCCAAATTATTGACAATTCACCTTTCAAGTTTTGTATACAAATACATTATTTCTTTCCCAGTGCAAGACAACTCATTTTTACATGACGAAGTCATGCACAGAACCATTCCAACAAAATGCAACCAATATTCCATGTATTCCTACAACTCTCATCAATTCAAGTGCAAGCACTTGGATGGCCAATTTATGAAGCATGGACCGGAATACGACTAGATAAGGATACATTGACAGGTCCAAATTTAGAAAAGTTGGAAACGACATGGTATTGACATAAGTCACATGACAGTTAATAAATGTATATTACTGTCATTTTATACATTCAACTTAGGATCTAAGATAATCATATGTGTTTTGTAAAAAGTATAACAATCATTTATATTAGTAGCAAAGACTACCCCAAACATCAGGATTAGATTATTATCATGGAATTGACATGAGTCACGTGACAGTTAATAATTCTATGATTAGATCACTATCACGATTAGGTTACATTGTACAACTTAGAAATAAGATCATCATTCATGTGTTTTGTAAAAAGTATAACAATCATTTATAAGAGTAGCAAAGATTCACCAAAATACTCCAAATACATATATAAGAAGTCAATTGTAAAAAAAAAACATAAAGTTGTCGATATTAAACACATTATGAGAGTCATATAAAATATATGTCCTATATGTACAATATATTAACATAAATAAGTGTAAACAGTCTGAAAAGCGTAATATGCTCTGTACCAAGATGTGGGTAGTTTTTTAACAGTGTCGGTGTTTGGCACCAACAAAAAATGAAGACATCAATGTTTTCAGTGTCAATATCCGTATAGGTCAACCTGGCCATGAATGTTGACCTCACTCAAAAGAATTGATAGAGTAATTTCTTACCATTTGTAATAATCAAAATAACCTACAAGTTATATGATTTACATGGAGCGGGGCTTGTGACATGGTACAAAATAAATCTGAGGGCTAGTGGCTTTAAGTTTCATATACAGCATCATCCTTTCTGTTTTTTCAGATATGAGACTGCTGGGAGATCACAAGCTCAATGCTTGTGGAGTATATTTGTACAGAAGAATAGTTGGGGTGCAGTTTCTATATAATCATGACAAAGGAAATAATGTTCCTAGCATTGTCAGCTTCATTAACAGGAAAAAGTTTTGACCCACCAATTACATTGTTCTTCTTCAGTATTTTCAGATTCATCCTACAAGTTGGAAGGCATGCACTACATACACGAAGTCTATGTACAAACACTAGAGCCCATGTGCAGATTAAGCTTTGATTTAAATAAGTCACACTGTGAAGTTGATTTGAGTAATTTGACATAAGAAGAGGGGTTCTCATTTGAACAGTTATACTTCCTCTTTCAAAGAGTTGACTAGATATGATTGTGTAGGATTCCATACTTGTTGAGTTATTTCCTCATTTGAAGCAAGTCATTTCAAGCCAGTGCCCTTGAAACAGAATGTTAGGTTAATCCATATCTTAGACTATATGCTAATTGAGTTACTTTTGGGCACTTCTCTTTCCTCGATATACCTCTCCCTTTTGCTTGCCTTATCTATAGTCTTTCATCTTAAATGCTATTCGAACCCAGATGCAGGAGCAATTTATTTCATATGTTATTTGAATACATTTTATTAGTTTAGAGATATTTAATAAAAAAATAAATATAAAAAAGAAGAAATCAGATTAATTCTTAATTGAAGATTGAAAATGTTGACCAAAGATTCATCTCTTTGTGGATGGAAATTTATAAATCAAGAATATCATTAGAGGAAGATTGTTCCTCAAATCAAGTCAAAATTATTACCTTCTTCAAAGAGAACATATTATATATTTGATTTAATACGATTGTAGTCTTTTTTTTTTCTGTATTTTTCTTTTTATTCTTATACTTGAGCCTAAAAAAAGGAATATAACATTGTAATATATAAAAATCGAAAGATAATCAATGAATTGAGTTGGTTCTCACCTTGTGTGTGAGTGGTGTGAGGTCACAAATATATTTCCAATGATACGATTCCATCGTTTGAGACGTGCCGTGGTATGAGACCTTCATCCTGAGAACATTCTCCTTGAGCCAGAGCGAGTCCGGTAGTTATCTTTTATTTTCTTATCATCTCTTTATTATTTTCTTTCTTTTCTCTTTTTCTATTCCTCTATTACTAGGAAAAATTTTTGTCACTACTCATTCTACATCAACTACTCTAGTTAAACCATGGCAATTACTCTCTGCAGTTACTTCCTTTTCCTCTTGTTCCACATCTGTTTTTTTGTCATTGCCTCATTAAACAACTTTTACTAGTCTACGGATTTATTATCATAGAAATAGTAATATGTTTTCCACTAAAGCTGAGAAGCTATTGGTGATAGGTTTGCTAATTCTCTGGTTGATTCTCAGTAAAGCAGGTGTTTTCTTTGTCTCTGCTATTTACTGCACATGTGAAGATCTTGCTGCATCTAACCTTTAGTAGTCTTCTTGCTAATTCCATTGACAATAAAAGTGAAAATCTGATTTTCAGGGAATAGTAATCTTTTCTGCAATTTGGACAACAAATAAATTCTAAATTTTAATTGCGTTAGTTGTGGTCCATTCATGCATCAGAAGTTAGCATATAACTTGTCTTGCAACAATTTTCTTTCATGATGGACCCAAAGTTTTGTTGAGTTTTTAGAGGTTATTCTCCTCTTTTTCTCTCTGCTTTACTACTTTCTCCTCCCGCATCCTGCATCTTTCAGTCTCTCATGATTTAGAAAGAACATCGTCTTTCTGAAGAGGAGAGTTTTACATAGCTAGCTAGGAAAATATCCTTCTATTTAGCAGCCTAAGTAATAACTCATTGTGCTGCTTTCTAATTCTCGTCAACAGATTTTTACATCAAAATCTGCAAGATCATAGGATGGGCTCCATACAACAAAATCTGGGTTAACTATAATGAGGATGGGAATTTTAGGAAGATGCTTAATTATCATCATCAGGGATTGGATTGAAGATTTAAGATTATGGATGTAGTCTTATCAGTCGACTAATAAATGAAATGAAATTACTGAAATCTTATAGTACCTCTTACCCATGAATTTAGGTGTCGAAGAAAGACAATTAGACACCAAACAATGAACAGAAAAGGTGGGTACAATGACATGCTCAAAACATGTAAAGGTGGGATCGGATTTGATCCGATCAAGCCGAGTTTGAGTCAAACTCCAATTCAGTTCAATCAGAGTTCGAGTTGAACTCCAAGTTGACCCCAATCCAACTGAACAAAGCTTGAATCTGAACTCAAGGAATAGATCCAACACAGCTCAAGTCTCACTCAAGTTCAGCTCAACTCAAGTTCGAGTCGAACTTCAATTCAACTCAACCAGACTTTGACTCGAACTCCGATTCAATCCAAATCTGGTTGAACCCAACTTGAGCTCAATCCCAAACCCAAAAGTCAGATTCAACCAGCTCCAACATCAGCTCCAACCTGCAGACGACTCAATCCAAACGTCACTTGGATTGGGAGAAGGGCATGAGGTTAGCCTAAAGAATCAGCTCCTTCAATCCGAGCCCTATTCAGACTGGAGGGGACTTGCTCACCAACCAGACGGCACTAAGGGGCTGGCCCTAGCCAAAGAAGGGAGTCCTAACGTGGTTAGAGCTCTACCCTCAATCTATATATTGAAGAGTCATCAGCCTCCTAATGCATAAAGTCACAACCACAAAGTTCTAGCCTTCGGCAGCCCCTTGTAGAAACTCTTCATCGAAAGCAGCAGCCCTTCTCAGCCTGCCCTACCAAAAGCCCTTCAGCCAAGTGTAGGAAAGGGAGAGATCAGAAGAAGGTGATCTGCCTCAAGTCCTCCTCGGCAGCAGGACTTGTGAGAGAACAGCCACCGGTCTTGTTGCTGCTGCGCCTTCCTCGACTTCCAGCAGCAACCCAGTGGCATCGAGTCTTTCTTCCGTTTCAAGCAGATATCTTCTGCAAACTCCAACCGGTTTAGAATTAGGTTCTGGACGAAAGAGAGAGAGGGAGAAGAAACAAAGATAACCGAAATTAACAGCAAGCTTTCTGCCATGAGCAACCTGCATGTTGAGTGCAAGAAGTCCGAGCACCTGTGCTCCCGAAGTCTTTGCTTAGTTCCTTGTTTAAGGTACTTTGATCCCAAGCAATAAGGGTTGCTTTCTTTTTGGTTTTATAACTTTCTATAGTAAAAGACACAACTCCTATGTGAAGTCGTAAATCTACTCGGAGTAAGGTTCAATGTCGTCGAGTCCTTCCCCCATACAGATCAGGACTTGTCAGGCTGCCCTATCTCTTAATGAATCAACGTAACACTATCAGAGGAGGATGAGGGTGATGGAGAACATGATGACAATATCAAATAGGAGAGAGAACAGAAATGTTAATTTGGAAAGGGAGGAAATGGAGAATTTTTTCAATCTCTAGAGGTGGAAGTAGCTGGAGGTTGACAAGGAAAGGTATTACACTAACCAAATCACAAGGCACAAACATGGTTGTTGAGTTGTGTTATTTCTTGTCCAAAAATGAAAATTATATTACATGACACGTGTGAACATGCAAGCACCGAAGAACAGTACACATCAATTTTACAAAAGCACTGCATGGTATTTTTGAGATAAACATACTACTCCAAGTTACATACTTTGATGGAACTTGATCGATACCAACCTGTGAACAACTTATATGCATTTGGCAACTCACGCTTCTGAGTAGCATAAAAAATATCTGTCCTGGAAGAGAGGTAAAGTCCAGGGTCAACAATAATGGGTCTCAGTTGCCGCGACCTGACACAATAATCTCATTTAGAATTTATATCATGAGAAAAAAAAAACTTAACACATCAGACAAATACAGAAGGGGAAAATTAAATATAATAAATAGGAGGTGAAGCTTCCGTACTCTCTCCAACCAATATAACTGGAATGCTGAACAAAGTTGAGATCCCTCGGTAGGAAAGAGAATACATGAAGAAGATCTGAGAAATAACAAAAGCAAAGTCAAATAGCAAGTATTGCACCTAAAAATATGCTTAGGGCAAACTTTAGCCATTGCGAATCTTTATGTCAATAAATTGAAGAGATTCTAAGAGAAAAAGAGAGTGAGGAAATGTCAGATTATTTATGGTTTGGAGTTGCAACTCCAATTACATAGAAGCACATTCTAGCAGATTGCAGCACCTCCGCTTAAATTTGCCTAGAAAGGCACCATTTCTTGCTTGCTATAAGACTAACAGCCAGTTTTTAACACAGATCTAATAAAAAGAAATGCGATTTACAATTCTATTATGTTTATTTCCTGGTAAAAGTGGATACAGTTGCATGGTGAAATATCAAGATTTTCAAGCCAAACGAAATGTTAGTCAGACCTCATGTCATAAAAGAGGAAATTTAACATCAACTACAACCTTCGGAGTCATGTTGTGTTGAAAGATTACTGACGCAAGCAAGGTTTGGTTCTTGAATGTCCTGAGCAGTAGTAGTAGTAGGAAGAAAAGATAAGGACACGGACGCACCCCCACACAGAGAAAACCCAGAAAGGAGAGAGTGTTAAACATGGCATCAGGTGCAAAAATCCAAAATTTTCACGAGAAAACTGAATCTCTGAGGCAGGAATAGGAGCTATTCATACCATCTTGGGTCACTATAGGGTATTCGGACGCGTCAAGGTTGACGAACCAATCCCAATTCGCTCCAATCCGGAGCAAGATCGCGGCGCCGTGGAGGGTGGCGGAAAGCGCAGAGGAGCCGCGAGGGTTAGCGAAATCCGGCTTCCCCACGACGTGCACGTTCCGGGCGGATCGGAAGGCCGGGACGTTCCAGGCGGCGAGGGCGAGGCGCTCGCGCTCGTCCTTCGGGGCAGCGCCGTCGAGGTGGAGGAGGTAGAGGTTCCTGGGGTGGTAGACGGCGTGGAGGAGGCGGAGGAGCCGGTCGCCGTCGCCGGCAGAGCCGGTGAGGAGGTAAGCGAGCGAGGGGGGCGGCGGGGAGGAGGATAGGAGGGCGGTGGCGGTAGCGGAGGCGGATCGGACGTGGGAGGCGGCAGAGGAGGAGGGCGAGGAGGCGGAGGGGGAGGAGAAGGAGAGGATCAAGAAAAGGGAGACGAGGGAGGTGACCAGAACGCAGTAGAGGTTACGGGATTCCTTGGGGAAGCTGGGGAATGACGGAGGAGGAGGAGGAGGAGGAGAAGCAGCAGCAGGAGATGCTGAAGAAGAAGAAGAAGACTGCATTCTTTCCTTTGAATTCCTTCTCTCTGTCTTGATGGTTTATTCCCCTCTTGTAACTCTTTCTTTCTACCTATTTTGAAGCCCGTGGCTGTCAATTTGACATCATCGTGGCCTCTCCTCTCTCTTTCTCTCTCCCATCTCCCTGGGAATTTAGTAGGTGATGCGAGGTAGGAAGTAGCAATTCCAAAAGGCAGTTAATTTCTTATATCATTATAAGAATGAGTCTTTATCATCATAAAATAATCTACTTTGTCAAGTAACATTACAAAACAGAGAGAGATAATTGGATGCATGTTATGGGCAAACGCCAAGGGTTTCAATTGAATTCTTAAGGTATGCAATCAAATTTATGCTTGTGTGGGTTTGTTTCTCTTAATCCAGACAAAAAGAAAATAAAAGTAATGACCAACTCTTTCAATTCCCACCTTTCTTAGAACTTGTCCTATGGGTGCAAAGAGATGTACCAAAAGAATCAATGAACCCTGAATAGTATGGACATATAATATTATACTACTATGAATTAAACTCCTATATAACAAAAGAAAACCTCTCTTAGGGTTATAAAAAATCATGTGGCCGGTGGGACCCATTAAGCTTGACAGCTCTTAAATATCAATCAAGTTTAAAATAATAACTGTAGTTAGTATTACTAATGATTGATTTTTTAGATGAAATCAAGAAAACTAATTAATAACTATAGTTAGGATTGCTGATGATTGATTTAGATGAAATGGTGATGTATTTGTATTGCCGACGGATTGACAGTGATTTAAGTTTAAATTAGTAATAATACACCGATCAGACCTAAATCAATCTATATATTTTTGTCTTCTTCCGATGAAACGAGGTGTCGCATGAGATCCCTGCGTAGCGTTGGTTCCGAAGGGAGAGAGAGAGGCAGGCTTTTGGGCTTCAACCAGACGGTCTGGAACTCAACTTGGGCTCACTCACCGGCACCTCGTCCATCTCCGGCACCGTTCTCAAGAACAGTGTGACAGCTTTTACCATCACTGTTCTTCTCAGTGCGGTGCCATGCCGACCCTCCGTGGGAGGACGAGACGACCCTACCAAAGGTTAAACAGTCCTCCGGTCGAACCATATGATTGATGCGGGTCCCCATATCTGGCCACTTCATGTTTTGGCGTGTCCATCGGTGCTCTCTGAACAGGAAAAGGGAGAAAGGAAGTCAGGTTTCTTCTTCCTCGATACCCAGTTTTACCGTCTCTCTCTTTCTCTTGCTTTGGTTGGTCCCATCACAGTTTATTGATCCTACCAGTTATGAGCTGCAGCATAATCTCTTGTACGGGGGCCAAAGGGGGAAAGAGAGGTGGAGGAGAGCATAACTTTTATCTACAGAAGCTTTGAACTTTCCACTCTCTTTCTTTTTCTTTCCGTCTCTCCTTTGGATCGCTTTTGTTCTCTTCTTGGGGTCATCCCTTCCTTCGATTCCCCTCTCCTTTTCTCTCCCTCTCTCTATTTATATCTCTGGTTCACATGTACAAATGCACATACAAGATGGATATTTTCTTGGAATGAGAAGGCCCAATAGCATGCACTTGTCTGCTCTGTATTGCTGGGATCAGATCGCTTTGCTGTTCCATCTGTCGATGTTGTTGCGTCTCTCCAAATTTGAGCTGAAAAAAATCCAATTTTTTTTAAAGATCGATTTCTCGTATCTGCTTTCTTGATAGTTGAACAGTTTGAGGTGAAACCCTGAAGGAGAAAGAGGAGGAATTCGAATGGCAGGGATGGATCCGTCCAAGTACGCGCACAGCCCAGCCCACAAGGCTGTGCTCGCGCGCGATTACGCCGGCCTCAAGCGCGTGCTCGCGGCGCTGCCCCGCCTCGCCGACCCCTCCTCCATCCGCACCGAGGCGGCGTCGTTCGCGGAGGAGGAGAAGGCCGAGGCTATCTCCGCCGTTGTCGACCGCCGCGATGTCCCCAACCGGGAGACGCCGCTCCACCTCGCCGTCCGCCTCGGCGACGCTGCCGCCGTCGAGATGCTAATGGCCGCTGGCGCGGACTATAGCCTCCAGAACGAGCAGGGGTGGAGCGCGCTCCAGGAGGCCATCTGTGCCCGCGAGGAGAACCTCGCCAAGATCATCATCCGCCATTACCAACTGCTCGCCTGGGCCAAGTGGTGCCGCCGGCTGCCGCGAGTGGTCGCCACCATGCGCCGGATGCGGGACTTCTACATGGAGATCACCTTCCACTTCGAGAGCTCCGTGATCCCCTTCATCTCCAGGATCGCCCCCTCCGACACCTACAAGATATGGAAGCGGGGCTCGAACCTGCGGGCCGACATGACGCTGGCCGGATTTGACGGCTTCCGGATTCAGCGCTCCGACCAGAGCATCCTCTTCCTCGGGGACGGATCGGAGGACGGGAAGGTGCCGCCGGGGTCCCTGTGCGTGATCTCTCACAAGGACAAGGTGGTGATGAGCGCTTTGAACGGAGCGGGCACGCCCCCCACGGAGGCGGAGGTCCAGCAAGAAGTCGCTGCGATGTCCCAGACGAACATTTTCCGGCCGGGGATTGACGTGACGCAGGCCGTGCTACTTCCGCAGCTGACGTGGAGGAGGCAGGAGAGGTCGGAAATGGTCGGGCCGTGGAAAGCGAAGGTGTACGAAATGCATCACGTGATGGTGAGCATGAAGTCCCGGCAGGTGCCGGGAGCCATGACGGACGAGGAGTTCTTCTCGGCATGTGATGACAACGATACCGAGAGCGAAGAGTTCGAGGACGTCTTGACGGAGGAGGAGCGGAAGCAGCTGGAGAGTGCGCTCAAAGTAAAATCCCCGGACATGCTCGACCAAGTCCACTCAGATGCCTATGTTGCTCGCCGTCATAGTTGCAACGAGCCGAGGGAGATGGCCGTCGAGGATGCTTGTAGTAGTAGCAGCAGTAGAAATAGTGAGAATAGACAAGACAGGAGAAGCTGGTTTGGTAACTGGGGAAAGAGGGGCAGCAATCACAAACAAGATGGGCAGAGGAAGGCTGTGCCTCCAAGCGTTATCCTCGTCGATTCTCCACCTGGGCATCAGAGTAGGCCCGAAAGGCGTTCGATAGAAGTCGTGAAAAGGCCTGCAACGAGCAAAGAGAGCGAGTACAGGAAAGGCTTGAGGCCTATTCTGTGGCTTTCTCCTGATTTCCCACTGCAGACGGAAGAGCTATTGCCTCTTCTCGACATTCTAGCGAACAAGGTCAAGGCAATTCGTCGACTGAGGGATCTTCTTACGACGAAGCTCCCTCCTGGAACATTTCCGGTGAAGGTATGGGTTTCTCCTACCACACATTCTTCTCATTCCATGAGTCGCTTGTGCATTATGTGAGGGTAGTCTATGAATGCATGCAGGTTGCAATTCCAGTTGTGCCTACCATCCGTGTCCTGGTTACCTTCAGCAAGTTTGAGGAGCTACAGCCATTGGAAGAGTTCTGGACACCTCCCTCAAGCCCTGAGAGCTCACGGACCCCAGAAACACAGGCATCAAGCTCCTGGATTCAATGGATAAAGGCACCCTATCGTCAAGCTTATGCCGCCTCACCAGGGCCAGGTAACCGTGTGGAGGACGTACAAGATCCGTTTGGGATTCCACCTGATTACACTTGGACCACTGCTGAAGCCAGAAGGAAGAAGACGCAGGAGGGTACGAGCAAATCGAAGCAGGTGAAGGGCCGGAATCGGTGAATGGTCGACGATCCATTCCGTCAGCTGATGACAAGGTGGCCTGTCCATGCGCTAAGATTTGTTGGAATATTCTTTTGCAAGTTGAACTCTATTTCTTGGGCAGGCAGTGATTTAAAGATCTTGAAAATTTTTAGGCTCATAGTCATGTCATGCTAATGAGGAATTCTCCTCTGTTACTTCTTACTTATTGCCTCAACTCTAATGAAGCTGGCTTAATCTCCAGAGGCACTGCAAGAATGTCATTCCTTAAAGTAAACCCACAGGTGGGGCTCTCAAGATCCTACTTAGCCTTCACGCAGTTATTTATATGACACAACAGGAAGACATGGTGAGGACTCTTCTATTTCTCATGGTCGTAGGGTTGGTTATCTTTTACTTTCAATGAAGTTACTAAGATCCAACAACCTAATGTCCAAAAGATTTTTCTCCACTCATCTTCCATATTGAAAGTGAGTACTGACATCAACTACTTCACAGCTCAAATCTTGATGACCCATTAAAGCTAAAGACAGCAAGATGGAACAGCTAATGTGATCTATCGATCCGAACAATGATACAAGATAACCATGAACCAGGATCTTCAAAATTAATTTGCTCCTTCCTAAACAAAACAGAGAGCTCGTATGTTTGTGCCATTGGACAAATCATTATTATGCTTATAGAACAGAAACATGATGGTCCAAAGAGTTCCGATGGATACCTGCAGTTCATCACCTTGTAGGAATGTTGAACACGATCGTACAATGCCCAAATCTAAATCTTGTGGCTGCCTCATTGATGTGCATCTTCTCAAGCGTTACAAAATGATTGCAGACTTTTGTTGTAATCCAAGCCATCGTGGAAAGACCTACCAGAGTGGAAATGATAGAGCAACATCACCTGCTCCTTTTATGAGAACAATAGATCTCTTGGAGGCTTTTTGACATCATACATAATAATAACAATAATAATAATTTGAGATCAACTTTTGTGGTTATTAAGATATATAAAAATATATATATTTAATTAAGTTTAAAATACTTAAGTATTTATTTATAATTCCTATTAAGACATTTTTAGATTTTTCTTTATTTCTCTTCATCCTAATAATATTAATTATCTTACCTTTTTTTACTATCATATTTGGAGATCTCGTAAGTATATACTTATTTCATTTAAATGATTTTCTCTCATCTTATCCTCTATCAAAATGATATCTAATTATTCATGAATAAATTTTTTTTTCTTAGTAACTTCATACATTCGTCTCATCTTAACAACATAAATCTTTTGTATATATTATTTTTTAATTATTCAACAAACTTTTTGACATTATATGTTGCATAGCAAAAATTTGTTTATCTTGTAAGCATTACACCATATATTTACCAGGAAAGAGACACTAACAAAGAATCATAAACTTGGAACTTTCAATGACAAATTCTAACTTTTAATTGTAAATCTTGGTATCTTCAATCACAACAAACAATATATTCCATCTCATGTACGGAGTATCAATTTATATTAGAGTGTATTAGTTAGTGCTTATAGCAAACAATAATATATGATGATTAGTCAGAAAGAATAATACCCTTTGCAGCATACCTCTGTCATAGACAGGATAAATGCACCTAGAACATGATCCGTTTTGCTAGATTTCCTGCAGAGAATTACTGAAAGAAGGTTTGTGGCAAGGATTTATTAATGTCTCATAGCAATTCAGTAACAAAATACCTTGCCTATAACAATTCATATAAAATATTCTTTCAAAAAGGATGGGCAAACATATTAACATCCATGACAAGAAAGGTAAGATTTTGGCAGTTTTTGGTGTATCTCTATAGAGAGATTGCATCTCCTCATGCATAAATGTTGCAGCACTTGGCAATGAACATTGTCAGAATCTTGTAAGTCTTCCATCTTTACTTCTATGAGTATGATAGCTATATATCATCATGCTTAAAAAACGTTTTGAACAGATACCACAGTTAATAAGCAAGCCCAACATTTAATAGTCCAAATCATATTGAATTGAGTTTTGCCATTAAAATACATTGACAAAATAAAATCTTAAAACCTTGTGCAAGACCAGATATGCTTGTAAGTTCAAGAAATGAAGAAAAGCACTGTGGCATAAAGAATGCCAATACCCTACTTCTTGATCTGCTTAAAACAAACAAAGAACATGACAGACAGAAAGTGTAAGAAACCAAGAGAACTTGTATCTCATAAAAAGTATTGCTCCGACATTGCACATAATATAGCATTATAGTCCATTAAAAATCTTCTTCCCTGGCCTATTAGTAAACTCTCTCAACCAAGAAATCCCTGCAGGTTTCCTGGTTAGCTTTCGTTGATAAAGATATCTTTCTCTTGCATTCAAATCTCAACATCAATTACCTAGAACGAAACAGAAAAATCAGTAGTTTATATATTACCAAGTCCTTAGTCTCCTTATCAAAGATCCTTGTTCAAATTGTACCTCCACCTGAGGACCATATCACCATTTCCAAGCTATAGAAGGTATAAGAAACTAGGAAGAATTAGATGACAAGCAAGTGATTAAACAAAGAGCTTCTTACATAATGCCCATAAGGAAAATATGTTTTTGAAAATTGAGCCAACTAAAGTTTTAAATACTGATCTAATACCAATTTTGATAATTAGTCAGAGCAATGTGAAATAAAACCAAGCAACATACAAACCTGGAACATCCAGTATCGCTGAAAATATAATAAAAATGTAGTATGCCAAGTGGTACCACGTTCTATGGCCCATTACTCGTACCTTGTCAAACCATTAAATCATGATCCATATGTACCAGTCCAATCATATTTAAATTCACAGATTCAACTTTAGCCCAGTACACCTAAATAATATTTATTTAGATCATTTAAAATTCAATGTAAATGAATAATGCATCCCCAAGGCATACTCGTCATGTCAGCAGCTGTAAGTGTATATGTATGTCAAATTATGTCATAGATTAGCCCCTTACATGTCCCAATAAAAAATCTAGAGAAGGTGAATGATCAGAGTTCCACTGGTAGGTTATAATTTATTGTAGAGCATGATAAAGTAAAGAGTTATCGGAGAATTAACAAGATGAGAATTCAAGACCTGAACATTTCATTATGTACTTTTCTCTTTACAAAAAAAATCATGTAATAATTAAAAAATGCACTAGAAAGAGCTTCCTACTATGTTAACATGTTGAATTAAATAAACATATGTTAGCATGGTTGAAAAGATCCATGCAGGCAACCTCATATAATTCGGGTTTACATGTCCAATAAAACAATATAGAGAAGGTGAATGATCAGAATTCCACTGGTAAGTCATAATTCATTGTGGAGCATGATAAAGTAAATTAAAAAGCTGAGAATTCAAGGCCTGAACTTTTCATTATGCACTTTTCTCTTTACAAAGAGAAGTCATTTAACCAATTCAAATAAGTTTCTATCTAAGAAGAAAAATGCACTCGAAAGAGTTTCCTACTTTGTTAACATGTTGAAATTGAAAAAAAATATATTAGCATAGTTGAAAAGATCCATGCAGGCAACCTCATAAAAATGGGGCATCATGGCTTCTTCTTATTCTTCATATTGATGTTGTTGGGGATAAAAAAAAAGTTAAATTCTATACACATATGAAGAACATGATAAGTCAAAACTTTTTGTCAGCTAATATCCAAAGAGCATCATAGGTTTGCCATCTGCATGTTTTAATTATGAATTCTAGATATGCATGAGAAAGAAACAGCTATATAAGCATACCAATTGAAGAACTTCTAAAATTAAGGGATAGGCTTACATCACCACAACAATTAATATAGACACTAGAGTAGATAATTCCATGCATATCCTCAAACTTGATAATTAACTAGTCAATTTGCCAGGAAATTAATACGGTAAGAGAAAAGATTCTCCGATATGTAACACAAGATTGAGAAAAAATTACCAGCGAACAATTTGGTCATTCCTTGGAAATTGGTGACACGCTCTCAGAAAGAGCATTTGGGACTTCAAAAATTTATCACCTTCTAAACAATAATTGGCTACATTGTTAACTTCCCCACAGGTTCATCTCCAATCCCATAATCAACACTCAGTTCCCTTAATGGAGGTATGTTCTCCATGGCGAAGATCATAACATGCGGATATAATACATTATTGTGATCAAATAGCACATATTGCACAAACACATTTGGGCTACAACTATGGCTCAGATAACAAGCTACATTCCTTGATCGTGAAACATCTATTGAGAAGTTCAGGCCTGGCAAGCATGGAAAGTTTGGTGACACATAATTGGGTAAGACATCAGAGATGTCTCCCCATTCCACCCATCTTCCTGGAAACTGGCCAGGATGCACCAAACAGTGGCCTTTTGTGGATAGGATTTCAGTTTGCTGCCTAGTTAGCACAATGCCACTAAATTCACAAACAAATTCCCCAGCCTGAATCAAATCCAATGATCTCACTCCCCACCCTGTCTCTTTTGATCGGAACACCTCCAACTGATGCTTCACACCTTTCTGGCTCACCCGGTTGGGACAATTCGGTGGGCACTGGCACAAGGTGCCACACTCATAAATTAATGGCTTCCCCCTCGATAGAATCCCATGTCCACCATATGCAAATTCTCCACCATTTTTCTGGGCACAGTAGCAGCTGGCTGAGCAATTGGAGATGCATTCACACCCATTTCCTGCATCAGCATTTGCCTTCCCTTGAAAAGCTTCGACAGGAAACACTGGACTAGTGAGATACTCAAAGAGCAATGGTTCTCGATCATCATCAATATCATTAAACAAAGAAACAGGAAATTTCTCCTTCCCCATCGAGATATCGAGACTCAAGTAACCGGCTGGCCTCATACTCAATGGATTCACTTTTAAATCCTCAGCAAGCTTGAGAATCCCACTGCCCATCTCTTCCTGGCCTTCAATTCTCAAAAGCTTGTACTTGTATATGCCGAACCCTGATTTGCCTACATCCATCCAGCAATTGACAATCTTGTAAAGCCCATCGTAGACATAAATCTTTCCGATGGGGCTGCGATTGGACTTTATACCACGAATGACTCGAATTTCAATGCCATACTTCATGCTCCGTTCCAGTGCAAGATTTCCCCCTTCCAGCTTCTGGTCAGTGCAATGCTTAAACATGCTGGGACCGCGGCCACCATGGCCAGTGTAGACCAGCACAAGCCCACTGTCCTCGTCATCCTCGTAGCCACCAGATACAATAATGCTGGTGGCTATCGGCTCGCCGGTAGAGCTCCGGCTAGCTGGAACATAGTCAATCCCAGCCTGGCTCTGGCCATGCAAGCCGAGCACGCATAACTCCATGCGAAAGAAGAAGACATCGCCGATGGTGATCCCGGGGATCGCGCCGATGATCCTCCTGTCTCGGTTAAGCCAGAGGTCGCGGTCGCCCATCAGGGTGGCGGCCTTGAGGTCGGCGCGGCTCCTCTTGCCCCAGATCGCCTCGAAGGCGTCGCCTTTGTTCTCGTCCCGGAGGAGGAGGGAGCGGAGAGAGTCGAACGTGATGCGGGTCCGGCGGACAACGTCGCGGAAGTAGAGCCGGTCGCGGAGGCCGAGGGTGGAGGCGCGGACCATATCCGCCGACCGGATCTTCCGCTTCTTGCGGGCGACGACGGCGGAAGAGTTGGCGGTCCGCGTCGGCGCGAGCGTGGGGGCGGTGACGAGGGAGAGGTGGTGGTGGTCATCGCCGGAGGCAGCGGCGGCGGCAAAGAGGCGGGCGAGGCGGAGGTACTCGGCGAAGAGGGCGGCTCTCTCATCGTCGACGGCGTCGTGGTTGGGGCTAGGGCTCGGACCGGATGTGGGGTGAAGGGGGTCGAGTAGACCGATCGGGCCGGGCAAAGCCGGGTGGTGATCGGGCGGCTCGGGTTTGGGCTCGACCTTGGGGAACGGCGCGAGGTTGAGGTTGAGGTCCGGGAACGGGGCGGGAGGCGGCGACGAGGGGGTCATCGCAGGAATGCAGCAAATCTCAGGGACCTCAACTTAATTTCGTCGAACAGGAGTGGGGAGGAGGAGAAGGAGCAGACAAGTGGACGGCCATGGCGAGGGGCAAAACGGGAAGAAAGTGCAGGGCGAAGGACAAATGGCGAAGGGAAGGTTTTTACGTAATTTCGGTCATGATCGACGTCCGACGAGTGTGGGACGGCACTCGTGCGGCCTTCGAATATCTGTCTCGGACCAACCAGCGAACACAATAACTCGAAACGTGTCTTACGCCCATCGGCTTATCCTTGTGGATCCCGCAGCTTTCTCTTCGAGTGGGACTCGCCACAGCTTTCTTGTGAAACGTGGGATCCTCAGGCTCATACATGCTTCACTGCTGCTGATGGGGTCACCACTTAAGTTACAACGATTTACGACTGCCGGACCCCACGCGAAATGCGGGAGAGCCGCCTTTCCATTGGTTCGGACGTGTAGGCCACGTGCTTCTCGGATCAACGACTTCAGTCATGACATGGAACATGAGCATATAAATCAGCTGATGAAATGGATAGGTTATATCTCGATGCTCAAGTCAAATCACGTATTTGTTTCTGTAGAATGCAGCAAAATACTATGTTGTATCACATAACAAACTTGATTGTGTGACAATATGCAGAAACGGATGCAGACATTGTCACCTTATCCATTCACATACTATGGGATATGCCAATGCATTATCCATCTATATTTGATCCAAATTAGTCGGCTAACATTTATTAGTACACTTCACTTCCTAATGCATGCATTAACTAATCCACTACATCAATCAATATTGTCTATATGAAATGTTTTCCGAAGAGTATTGCATGTAAGTTGTTCGTTTTATCATACATTCACTTAATCGTATTAACTTTATGTTAATCGATGTCATAACCTCTTCGTCTTTTCGTGATAACTCGTAAACACTTTGATTGTTGAATTAAGATTTTGATATTAAATCTTATCTTTATCATTTTGAAAATAAAAATCTTCCATGTTACCCTTCACTTTTAAGCCTAATAGTAAAAAGGATTGGTTAGATTAAAATCCTCCGCGCGATTGGATTAGGTGCTGATTTCATATGCGAGTCTACAAATGGTGCAGTCTATGGTCGTCAGCCATAAAATTGGCTGACCATTTATCTTAATGGCCAAAGGCATTGATGCAACTTGGGCTTAAAATTACAATTTAGATTTTGGTTCGAGATTATGATCATTCCCGTTTAATGAGTGAATTAAACAATCAATCGATTCGAGTAAGAAAAATTTTACTTTATATTTCAGAATAAATAATAGGAACAATAATTTGGGGCCGAATTGAACCTGGTTATAACAATAAGACATGCTGATCCGGATGCAGGACTAGATTCTAAATTCTGATGGACCTATGAACCCAATGGGTCATCTTAAATGGGCCGGATTTTGGTTAGACCGGACCGGTCTGTGAGTTTGGATCAAGACGAAGGAAGCTCAATCAAGCAACATTATGAACGACATAAATAACTACCTTACAGGCAGCAAAATCATGGTAAGAAAGATCAAACGTTTCAGTCAACAATATATATATATATATATGTATGTATATATATATATATATGTATGTATATATATATATGTATGTATGTATATATATATATGTATGTATGTATATATATATATATATATGTATATATATATATATATATATGTATGTATGTATATATATATATATGTATGTATGTATGTATATATATATATATATATATATATATATATGTATGTATGTATATATGTATGTATGTATGTATATATATATATATATATATATATATATATATATATATATATATATATATATAT